GTTCTGAAAACATGCCAAATATAACAACAATATAGACGATTATTCAATTAGTGTGACGCTTGTTTTTAATGTTTCTAAAAAGCTTCTATTCATTGTTAGTTGGGCAGAATGTTCGCATCCATTCTCTGAGACTTTAAAGACTTTGATAAGAGATATTTGCGTAATGTATGTCCTATCCATTTCCATCGTCTTTTCCTAATTTCTTCTTCAGCTGGAAGTTGGTTTGTTCTCTCCCACAGAAGGCTGTTGCTGATGGTATCCGGCCAATGGATGTTGAGTATCTTGCGTAGACAGCTATTTATAAATACTTGTACTTGTTCTAGGAGGAAGTTGACAGAGAATGGATTCATTCCACCTAAATTATTATTATTTCGTTACGTACTTTCAACTCTAAATCAAAGATAGTATATAAATGATCTTCACAGTTATGGATAATTGACAGATATGGGGTTACACTAGTTAGTCACTGTAGTCAGTCCTGTCAGAAAGATTCCAATCTACAATACCAAGTTAGTTACGTTAGCATTCACCTAGTGTAAGACTTTCTCATCTATCTTGATCGAATTTTAGATTTATATACAAAAACTAAGAGTTAGGTAAAACAGTTTTCGGTAGTATACAACGATTAGCAAATGTAATCAGTTTGCATTTAGAAAATCTCATTAGTAAAGTAATGATTACGAATAGTTTAAAATATTTACTCTTTATCGTACTGCAGTTAAAAGCTAAAGAAAATATCCAAAAAGTCTAATCTAGCCATCGAATTCTGTACAAAAAAAAATATTTTTTGGAAGGTTTCTCAATATATTCAGTAAGGCAAGACAAAATTCAATACAACACTTGGAAGCACACACAGATACATGTAATCAAACACTTACTGATTCACGGATAATTCGAAGAAGTACTGCATTTGGCAAGTATAAATCGTCGGCCTTTTCAGCCATTCTATAACAAATAAACAAATAAATCAAATTTCTAGTAATTATGTGGTCAAATGATGCTATGTCAGAAGATAATCATGGGCAAATTAATCTTGTTTATTATAAAGCCAACAGGATTTTATGAAATCAACATGAATGGTTCATAAGACACTGACAAATAATGACTGATTACTTAGACTGTAGTGAAAAGTGTTATATAATTGCTTAGTCATTCGACAGTAACAGTCGAACAAAGTCTAGCTAGGAGGAAACCATAAACCTAGTTTTTTGAGTTGGTTGATACTCCTTAAAAAGGCGTACCTGAAAACTTGAATATACAGATAATCCCTGTAGGATTTAAATCCAGCTTAACAGTTTGAGGGATTGCTATTGAGTCATTCGAACTGTGATTGACTGCATGAAGGGAGAACTAATTGATTACTGAATAGCGATTAATATTATATTTGTCTACTTTCTCGATGTTGATTGAGTTGTATCAATCAAATAATTATGTAGCCATTAGTTTGAATAACTTGACGTCATGTGCACTATGTTGAGATGGTAGTTAGCAATCTGGTTAGAGCAACAGTCATGACATTTTTAAATGTAAATGAAAACAAGATAGATTTAATGATTGGTATTCTTAATACTACTGCAAATTATCCATTTTCTTCAAGTGATAGCCCATATCGCGATGATGATAACTACCAAAATGATACAAACTTTCTACAAAAACCAACAACTAACGTACATATTGTATACGTTCTACTTAATGAACAAGCTACAGAGCACTTGTAAGTGGGCATGGAAGACAAACTCATTTGTGTGGGATAAAGTAGTGGTATTAGGCTGAAAATACAATTAAATTTTGTGACTAAATCACTCAACTATACAATTTGTTAGATTGCTTTCTATAACTGATTTAATAAGTGAACATTTGTATACTCCAGACTATGAGCCACATAATGTTCATATGAGAGCTAGTGATGTTATTTGGCTGGTTAAACCGAAGTATATTACAAAACAACGAAGACATTTCGAAATACTTTAGTTCGCTTAAAAGGAAAAATCCCCTTTATGTCAACACAGAACTGTGTCTAAAAATTAGGATGTGTCGATTGTGATGCCATCTATATTGAAGAATCATCTCGCGAAACCTTGACTCGAGCTAAAGAACATCTTGCGTACACAAAGAAACTACCTAATAATCCCGTATAACTGCATAGAATTCAAATTAAATCGGCAATAGCAGTTCACGCCATTTTTAACAACCACTAAATCGATGTCAACATATTACAAAAAGGCTTTCCCAATTATAAAGAAAGGAGAGTAACTGAAGCTTTTCATATAATGCTTAATCCAACTGTTCTCAATAGAAAACAAGGCCATACTATACAACCGACTTGAACTATCAATCCAAACTATTATGTCTGATATTATTTACATTTAAAAATGAAGAATATTTGAGCGAACAATTGTTTTCAATAACTTCATCATCAAGCTCTACAGTTATAAGTTCGTAATTTTACAAAGGCCAAAAATAAGGCATGTATTAATGAATTTGACAATGTTATGTGTTGAAAATGGTAAACGCTTGCATCTGTTACGATATATGTATATACTTCAAAATTGTATTATTTGCAAATCAGAAAGGTCATTCAATAAAGGTCAGGATGACTTGGAGTAGTGTTCAGTCACAATAAGTATAATAGTATTATAGCAAAAAATTTTGTGAATAAAATGCATAGTAGGAGAATTTAATCTTGTCAATTGAGATAATAATAATAATAATAATATGTAATAAGGAGGGTGTTATCAAGGTAATTACGATCAACGAATTGGGAATGATTGGTATGAAGATTAAGATAGAGATAATCAGAAATAATGATAATAAGGAGAAAAAATTAAGTAAATAAGAATAAAGGAAGGGGGTAAAAGGTTTATAATATTCAGTCTAGGCATTCGGTGATCCAGTCGTAAATTTCTATTCATTGAAATATTAAAAATATATTATTTTTATTTATAACAATCTACCCAATGCTCGATTTGTCTGAAATTAACAAGTCAAACCTTGATAATGATACCTACAAAAAGAGTCGTCAGATTTGGTGATTTGTAAACGCTTTCCGTTCTGCTCTTATATATTAGTCAATTGAAGCTAGACCACCATGGAAAACCTGGATGGCCGTTTCGTCCTAGTATGGGACTCCTCAGCAGTGCGCATTCAGATATCAGCTCGCTGAAGACAATAGTGGTCGGTGGCGCAACTTCGTGGATTAATTGAAGTTAGACATTAACACCGTTGGATACCGGCTCAGTGGTCTAGTGGTTAAGTGCTCGCGCGCGAAACCAGTAGGTCCTGGGTTCGAACCCCGCGGGGTGCGGGACCGTGGATGCGGGCTGCTGAGGGGCCCCACAGTAGGACGAAACGGCCATCCAGTGCTTCCAGGTTTCCCATGGTGGTCTAGCTCATGATTTCAACTATTGAGATTTCTAAAATCTCCACAAAACCCATTCTTATATATTAGTTATAAAAGTCGTCGAATTAGATAAATACGACGAGCAAGTCGTATCATCTCGTCTACTTGATACAAAATACCATTCCGATTACCAAATAAATTAGAACAAATTATCTAAAGAACTGCTAAATTTTATGAATTACCACTGCATATTTAATCTTAATAATTATAATAACAGTAAGATTTGAAGTGATTATCGCTACTGAATTAAGAGAAAAACGCATATGACTAACTAATTCACACTATCATTCTTTATATTACAGACCAATCTTCTTTATAAAACCACTGAAAGCCAGGAAGCAATCAACATTTGTTTTGTTCTAGTATGGAAAACCTCATAAACAGCGCGTATCCAAGATCTCATTCGGAATCGAAGCAAAGACTTTTAGGAACCTCTCAACAAGTGCTTGACATTTAAATCGCTGAGTCAATATTAAAAAGTTTTCATTTATAACTTCAGTTAATTTGAAGTATTGAGCAACATTATCCCAATGTCATTAGCGGATAACTACCTCAGATAGACAAAGATGAACTCTTATCTCTAGATTCTCAGTAGAGCTCCAAGAACAACCTCTCGAAATTAGTTACCAGCCAGCCGTAATTATTATTACAATCGACTATAGATGATGCATTTCTTATCGTAAAAAAACAAATTCCAAAAGCCTAACTTAAAATGTTACTGCTTAAATTACATCTTTAGAATAAATGATCAAATCAATCTTCATTTGCGGATTATTTATAAAATAACATGGATGATATCCAATATAAAACAATTGGGTAACGTAAACTTGAAAACACCAATTTCATAAATAGTGACAGCACCAAAGGGTAACAGTCTACTGAAGCTGAGATTACCTTACTGATGAGTACCAATGAGTAAGAAATTTCGATTTAATTTCTTGTCAATTGCCTCCAACCACCAACTTATATTTAAAAAAAGTATGTATGCTGTGAAAAGTCACTTCAATTCATGTCTAAACAAAAGCTTGATCAATGCAGTTTGATTAGCAATAAAAAAAGATCGAGACAAACATGAAATAAGCTGTGACACAATCATTAATCAATGTAAATACCTCAATCATACAAGAAATCAGTGGCAGTCCGAACATTCCAATAATCACATCCCAAATTAAGTGAATTTCACAGATGGTATTAATTCCCTCGAGATTTCAGGTATATCTTATGGGAGAGTACCAATTATCACGAAGCCTAGATAGATGAAGCAGGACTTTTCTATGCATACATTTATTTACATCATTTAAATTAGTGTCCAAATTTCAACTTAGTTGATAGGATTTTAAAAAAAAAAGATATGACATTGATTACATCTTAGAGATTAATCAACTATTGATTGTCTGTAATAGTTTTAATCTTTATACTGATTAATTCAGTATTTTCACTAAGATTTCACAATAACATAATCTAATCGTTTAACTGTATTAATTACTTTAGGATTCTAGTCTAAATGATTCTAAGACACACAATAGTAGTAATCAAAGTAACAATACATGGACACAAATCAATCAAGCATTAAACAAAGTATTAGAAAAAACAAAACTGTACTACTTTTCAAACGTTTACTTTTATTATTTATGATATCTTTTTCAAGATTATATAACATTATAGTCATTAACAACGAGTAAGTCATATGTGATTGAAAACAAAACAAACAAAATTGATCAAAACACGGATAGATTACCACATTTTCTATGATGTAAATTGTTTCATTCATTGTTTTTTCTCTTTTAAGATAAAAACATAATTTATTCATTCATGTATGGAATTTATAAACAGAAAAGAGGTAGTGATTGTATTTGTTTGTTTGTGTGTGCGTGTGTGTATCTGTCTCTATGTTATATACTTTCCTTTTTGTTACCAAGTTTAATTTGATTAAAAATATATTCATTATTTATATCCATATATATCTGGCTTAGTGTTTGTATTTTTTTTTTCTACGATACATAAACTCAAGACTTATTTAGAAGATGAGAGATAATAATAAATGAACGTATACATGTAATTAGGGAATGCAGAAAACTAATATGTTATACTTTTGAATTGTTTATTGTACTTTACTAACCTGAAGGAGAAAGAGAAAATCAATAGCAATTTATCGTTTCTACATGTACACATACACACAAGAGCAGGTTTTCTAAATTTATAATGTGTAAAACTTAATGGATTTCTGGGGTGCAGTTTAAAATAAGAATGGAAGATAGGTGGAGACAATGAAAGAGAAAATAAAACAATAAATCTAACATTGTTTAACACTAAACTGTTTAAATGACCACACCACTCGGTGACACACACATACACAATTACAGTTAATCAGATTGATCAGCAGCATCTAATCTTCGAAAGAAATATAAATAAGCATGACGATGTGGTGGGCATTCACTTTTTGCCACTTTCTCATCATTGAATATAATCCATTCTTGATCGGAACCGCCACAAATTGGTGAGCCGACATGATATACTGGCGGTTCGTGAGGAATACATTTAGCTAGAAACGATCGTTTAATATGAGCGACATAATGACCATCCTGTGCAAAACAAAAGAAACAAAAAAAAGTGAAGATGTGTATGTTATATGTATAAATTTGAATAGCTCATAATAAAAACAGACTAAATGAAACTTTGTTAGTTCAAGTCAACAATTTAGTTTATTAGGGATGTATACTCTTTTGCCAGATATTAACCATATTTCAAAGATAGCTAAGTCGCTCAATCATATTTAGTATATTAATGACAATTTTTCTGGGATATATATATAGTTCACATAATACCCGTGGAGTGAATTTTTTTTTCCAACAAGTATTTGAATACACAGTTTCTGCATACATTGACTAAAAAAGAGCAAACTTGTGTCCATGACAAGAGTCTCTTTACTTTACTAATCCATACAAATAAATGTGGACAGTAACCATTGCTTTGAAGCGAGATCAGCCAATTAGTTATAAGAAAAGTAGAATCTGGTACAAACATGTATCGGTGCCAGTAGTTACATAGCTTTAGTACAACGAGATAAATCTCACAGAAGTAGACATACATGACACTTTAGTGGATATTAAGCACCGATAATATGATTTCAGGAATAAATTGGTATAAATTAACTTTAAAAGTCAAGAGTTACTGGGAGACAAAGAGAGAATAAATCTAACCTAATGCGACCAATTCTGGACAACTGATAGTGATAATTACAATGACATCAACCTGGTAGACTGTACCTACCAACATGGCTCAATAAAACAAGCAATCACTTTATGAACTGATGCCATGTTTACATTTAGCTTCCCCTACTCGTTTACCAGGGAAAAATGACCTCCGGTGAGGTAAGCAGGGTTTGAATATGTGTAATATATGACCTGAACATCTCGATCGATGAAGATTCACTAGCTCATCAACAAAATGCTAATCTCCACTTTTTTTAGAATAGGTAGTCTGCAAGGAATCGTTAACCTAGGCTACGTCCTGAATACACACCGTGGAATTTAAACTTACGTTAACTAACTTCACAGTTTAAGATGGCACTACTGAGGGATCTGTGTTGCCATTTTGAGAAGTGATGAAAACAATTTAGCTACAGGATTAGTTAGTTACTACAAGAGAATCTTATTTTATTTTAACACGTAGATAATGGTACAAAGAGGCACCAAATACATATGCGCCACACAAATCTCATTCGATATGTGTGAGGGCTGTGATACTACCGGGGTGCCCAAACAAGAGAAACTTGTTAGTTTATACATATGTTGAGTTATGTGGACTACAAACTATAAAGATTAACACACAACTTACTATAATACAAGTTCGAGAAAAATCAAACAAAAACTAAGAGATTTTAAACAAACGAAACATCATTTTGTAAGTATACACATTTGAACGTAATTAATTTTCTTACATTGGTCGATTTTCCCATGTGACTAATAAAAGCGAATAATTCATACTTTGAACTACCATCTGATAACGGTGGACCTGATGAAGATGTCTGATTTGAATTATTCCCAGCATCAGTGGAAGATTTATTAGTCATAGCTATTTCAGATTGAAGTAATAAAGTTTCTAATTCATCTGGATTACTCAATGCCCAATCAGCAGCTTGTTCCAAATTACCATTTTTGTGTTGTAATGCGATGATTGACTGGAATAAAAATCAAGATTGAGAGGAAACATTTTAATCAAAGAATCTAACGAAATATATAACAAATATGATGTGTACAAGTCAAATATGTACATCCTTCATAAGCTCTAGTTTCCTTAGGTAGTCGCTACTACACTCTAAAACGTCGGTGTAAAAAAAGATTATTATGATTTGAATGTACTTTATTAACAAAATGCATATGTAATCCCTACAGAACTAATAAACTGCACTGGATATAAGCTTACATCACCCGATAGGTAATTCGATTCACCAAAGATTCTAGATCAGATGCGTATTAAACGACCAAAGCATATTCATCATTCACTTCCAATTATCATAGTGTAAATAGATTGGCCAATGTTACCAAGTCATGATACACATTAATTCTGTTTTCCTTGAGCTGAATGAGTTCATTTCAAAGTTCCCACTGTTTTTCTACGCAACAAATCACCAACACCTACTTTATGAAAAAGTGTAAGTACTGAATCTATGTGTTCTGATGACGCATGTAAGGGAAATGTACGGAGCTAACCAACCACAAACAAGTTCATTAAAACAAATCAATTCAACTCTTATGGATTAAGCTGGTTAGGACATGTATTACACACGTCCAACCACCGCATGCCTCGACAGATTATGTTCTCTGGTGCTGAAAGAAACACAGCGACGGACAAACCTAGACATCCTATCAGTCCATGAAGTCATTGACAATAGGTGTAGTTTACCTGGTTGGGGTCCGCGTGATTGGCACTAACTAATGGTTAGAAAATTTACATGACATTGCTTGAAATTGTTTGCGATGTTGCATGTGCATCCATTCTTTGTCTGTCTCTAAATTCTGAGTTCCTAACTTCTTCACAATGTTTTGGTTCTTATTTTCCTAATTTGGATTTTCTTCTCGAATCGTATCTTCGATGTCTAATGTTTTCTACTACCACTATTATTGTTACTATCTCCAATATTCTGAGGCTTGATCGAACAATGTCATCTATCTGTGCTAATGGTGTGTGGGAACTTGACCTGGAGTACATACCTGTCAGGTTCTAATTTATGACTGAATAACTGAAGAACACCCTTCTACATGAACCAGGTGATAATTAATGTGTCTGTCATCCCTTACGACACTGAAACATTTAACAATTTAGCTCAGAGAAAACATTAAAACCAAAAGCATCTATCTAATCTGCAGACAAGTGTTATGATGTGCAGTGTTTGAGAACGATACACGCAAACATTATGTATGCGAATTGCTAATAGGCTACTCTTCTGGATGAGAAAACTAAAAATAAAGGAGTGCTAATTGGGTGGGCTAAACCAAATCACATTCATTCATATATATTTGTTGCTGAACCGATTTCTTGGTCAACAAAAAAATCCACTGGTCAATATTTTTGTCAATACTTCAAGTTAACTAATTAATATGAAAACTGTGCGTATGTTCAATTGATTACGCAAAAGATCGTTTTCTCTGTTGCAGTTCAATATACTTACAATCAGCTGATTTCACTATTCGCTTATTAATTAGTTTAGAAACAAGTTTTTTTAATACATATTATTGATTTATATTATGATCGATGGAACAATTTCAAACAGTCGATAAACATCAAAAGATGTGCGTATATATATATCCTCAGGATTCCATTATTGTTGCGAGGGCGAAGGTAACCTACAACTACAATAAATATGTGTGGATTACACATGATGTTGTGATATATTACAGTTATTGATAGTCGCTCATGAACTCATTAACTAGTGATCTGAGGCATGTTGATAAAGTAAAACTGATTGACGTCGGTTTGATAACGACAATCACTGATTGGAGATGTCGGATAACATGACTCAGAATAGATCATAATGATAAAGATGTGCATCTACTGTTTATTTACGTATACATCATAAATTTCAATATTCCTTCATACAGATCTTTTCATTTTATCTTTTTAAACCATATTCTCAGTATGTTTAGTTTTTCTCATTATCATTGCTACTACAACATATCGATTACTTGTGTCAGTCGTTTCATCATTCTTTTTTTCTACGTTAATGTGTTATAGTAACTTGGTCGAAGCAGCGTCTTATGTTAGCGGTTATGGTTGGCTTGATATTGTAAGACAATAAATAAGCAATCAGCTTATGTTACTACCTCTTGATGTTGTCTTACAAATTGGAAATCAAAATTTGTTACAATCAACATGTTTTCCCACTAAATAAATTGTGTCAAAGTATAGTCAAATGCTTTTCATTGATGTAATTACTTATTTTCTGTTAAATTCTAAACTATTACTGCCGTACTCAATTACATTTCTGATTAGTTAATGTTATTTTATTATTTTTAGTGCACTCACTAATTACCATCAAGAGTGTGTGGTTTATATTTCGTTAGTCTGAAGAATGATTAATTCATACCATTGGATTATTGGATGAAGTATTCACAATTTCGCTAGCCCTATCTCTCTCTTATTTCATCAATATTTACGTCGATAGATAATTTTAAGAAAAGAAAAAAAACAAACAAAAACATATCATGTGTTTTTTAATACTCATGCTCATGTGATATTTACGTGTATAGACACTGTTTGAGAAAGGTAAAAACTGACAGTGTGTTCAACAAAACAAAAACAGAAACGAAACATTTTATTTAAACACATAAATATTAGTACCAAATATATATGCATCTCACAAATGTTTCAATTTGTGTGAGGACTGAGACACTGTCTGGGTGTCTAGACCAAAGCAGGTGGTTTTTAGAGGACCACAACCCGAGCTCTTCACATGAAAGTCTAACAGACAAGGTAGTGGAGAAGAGTTAGGAGATGCAGTCCCATGGTAGCCGGTGACCAGTGATAGGTTCAGATATCATTTGTTCACTCAGGATCCTGGAGTCCAGATGCGTTATCATTTTGGAATCAAAGATTTCCAGCTCCTTTAGGTGGATCCTCTGCACCCACCAACCCGGTTTAAACACCGAACATTCGCTTTTGGTTCTTTCAATTTCATTAAAAAACCACCGCTGGGATAAGGCAGTGAGTGGGACTTTTCTGGTTGTGGCTATTTGTGTGTAGCCATACAAGAGAATTTAGAGTAAGAGTGCAGACTCTCCCTACCCTTGAACGTACAAGGACATTTGTTTAGCACAACACATTTTAAAGTTGAATACTATTTTGATGAGGAACATAAAAGCGTACATTGATTAACAACCTGTTTTATCAAAAGTATGGACTGGACTAATTAATGTATTCAATTTCTGAAAGTCGGTAAGATTACATTTAATGCTGATGAATTCTAAAGAGGGATCTTTTAAAGTTAAAAATTGTCCAGTGTCTATCTACTGATAATATTGAATCATGAATGGATTCGTATATAAAATACTGGTTTCTAATTTATGAACCTCATTTCAATTATCAAATTATATTTATTGGAAAGTTGTAAAGCTATAGAACTGAATAATCTGTGATTGGAGTTTGCCAACTTATATTAACTTATGTCCAGAAGAGTTATTAATCTACTTGAAACAAATTAAAACATTATACTGGACAATATATTTGATTACAGGTGATTCAGACGGAGTTTTGTTCGCGGAGTTGGGTGGTTCGGTTGTGGAACTTTCATTGTTCTTCTGAAGAGCATCATCAGCACAAACAACATGTAGAATTGAGGTGCTCGAATTTCTCCACAAATTACTCATAGCTTGTCCTGTAGACCATGATCTTGACTGGTTATTGTTGATATTCAACCTGTTATTATCTGCCTCTTTAGTTTGATTGTATCTCCCCTTCGGTATGATTCTTGATTCTTTATTCGTCTATTGTTTTTCTGATTGGTTGATCGACTTGATCAATTCCAATGTGTTTGTTGATTGCTGATTAATCTGAGTGCCAAGCTTCCAAAAATCCTCTGATGCTTTTAGTACTCTCTCTACAAAAGATCTTAACATTTAATTATAGGTGATGTTGAAGGATTGTTCGTAAGTGGTGGAACCACAAAAGCAGTAATTGTACAGTTAAGTATAATGTTTTGAGTAGATATGGCAGTTCGACTGATGAGGTAGATAAATCCGGATATAAAGCTTCGATATTCAGCCGGTAATGAGGTAACAGTCACATGTAATCACAAAAAACGAGTTAGGTGTTATGCATACATATAACGCAATAAAAAGGACACTACATACCTGTCTGAGAGAGTATCGTATAACAAAATACATTGTTAGAGACATAACGTGTTTATAATGATACAAAAATAACAATTACAAACTAAACACACATTTATGTACTTGGATTGGACTCCGACCTTTTGTCTGACGGCTAGTGATACTACTTAATTGTATCAATTGAAATAGGTGAATAGAGATTTGAGCCTGTAATCTAAAGAGATGCTAGTCAAATACTTCAGCAAACAGTTAACCAGAAGAAGGACGGTATATTGAAGCTTTATACTACTACTAAAAACATTAAACACTAGTTCAAGTTTTCAAATGACAATAAAATGACTGAAACAAGTTAGGTTAAAAAGTATTATTGAGTAATTTACTAAATACTCTTCTTAACACTATCGATCATTAACTCATTATTTTATCACATTAGGAATATACTTTCACCAACCTGTTGTCTACTGAATCCCATAGCCAACATCATTTCAACTGCGTTTTCGTCAATATTTGTAGAAGTGACGGACCCAGCTACTGGTTGTTTCTGTTTATTTTGTTGCTGATAACCACTGGGCGGTGACAACGGATCGTTTAAATCTGGATCGTCTAAATGTTCCATTAACCAATTGGTAGCATTTTCTACACTAGTATTTCGTGTAAATTTACAAGCTTTCTGTGCTGCTTCCAAAGTGAAACCCATAACTAACAGATCATTGATAATTGTTACATCCGGTTGTACATCATCATCATCATCAGTTTTCATTTGTTCAGCTATATGATAATGTTTGGAAAGAACAAGGAAGAATTTCTTTGAATTAATAATGGAATTAATGTGTGTATTGACAACAAAACATACTCATTGACCTATTGTTCGAGAAAGCTAGGTTAGATGATGAATAGGTAAAAACGAAAAATTTAAAATCCTAGTGAAATGTTGTAGAATCAGTTGTACTGGGATGCGACGTTAACGAAAATTTTGAAGGAAAACCAACATCTCTGGCGATGCTGCCTTTTCGAAACCGAAAAGAATGAGACAGATAAGATCGAATAAACAAACTAACATGACTTATTGTTCGATCGACGAATATCAGATGTTAGAGTTTAAAAAGTCGATAGAGCTAAAACACTTTAAAAAACGAAATCGTTGTAGCACCTCCGAATCAATTTCTCTTCTTGACTCCTGAAGCTATATTACAATGTTGACTAAGCCTTTGATACTCATCCGTCTTCTTCCTCAATTCCTTCAAAGAGGGATTTCTTTTCATGATGCTAGTGTAACTGAGAAGTATCAACCACACAAACGTACACACATACATTACACAATACTAAAATCCTGGTGTTCTGTTTCTGGAGAAGTTTATCCTCCTGGCCATCTAAGATTGAAAAAGTGAGAAGACTAAGAGGTTAATGAATGAGTGAACTTTGGTAAATATTCTAAAAAAAATTTCTCAGATATCATGGGAAATACGTTCACATATTTTTAGGTTAAACTACTCACAAGAACCGATATCCTGATAACATGACGAAAAATTTATATCACCGATTTCATTATCATAATTCAGAAGTATAAGCAGTATAATGTACACGCACAAATATTTAGCTTAGCAAAGGCAAAATTATCGAAGTAATATTATTAAACATAATTATCTAATATATTTTAAGAGGATAATAAAAGCGCCAGTCCCGACCTTTAGTTCGTATTTCCCGCTTGGAAAGACCTAAATGTTATTGGTTCTTTTTCTTCTTTTAACACGCTATTCTGTGACTTTTCCCAAGGATACTGTTTATATACGCTTGAGTTGTGTGCTTGTTTGTTCATGGTTCTGACTGCTTGTGGAATATACACTTCCCTCAGTTGAATCTGGTCTTCTTCCTCTAGTTAGCAGGGCTGGGGCGCATTAGAATAGTTTAGCTTGTCCTGTTATTTTGTTGCTGACCTCGTACCGCCTTGCAGGTTATGTGATATCGTAATCTCTTCAAAAATATCAGGTGTAGATAACATAGACTCATTGTAATACACACAAGTAACTGATTATTTAAATTATCAAGTTAGATAGAGTTGAAGGGTCGAATCCGAAAACGACTGGAAATGTACAGGTTTAATTTATTAAAACACACAAGTGAAATAATCTGTGCGTTAAACTCACATTTGATTTCATCTCCAGTTGGCATTAATTGTTCGCCAGGCAATGGTCTACTACCGTTCGGTGCACGTAAACCATTTAAATCAATAAACCATTCTGTATTACCATGATTTCCAACAGATGATTTTAATTCGATGTCTACATCCAATTTTTTCGGAAGCCAATCTGTACCAACAGTAAATCGTCCAACTTGTATACATAAATAGTTTGGAAAATTTGTTAAACGATTAGAACGTAAAGCGAATGTTTTGGCACCTGGAGGTTGACTTGCTGGTGTTTTAAAATCATTAATTTGTTCTGTTTCAGCCCAAGCCGACAGGCAAGCCTAGAAATATTATTAATGAAAAAAAAATAATAGTAATAATAATGGTAGGGAGACGCTATTTTACTCACCAATTGTTACTAACAAATTTTTATTAATCGACAACAGAATTATTAATGAACATGATTATCCGTTGAGTCCTGATAAGGTTATCTGGACATCCTCATGCAGTAAAATAATGTAGTTGCTACTAGATCAATTTACTTTAACACTAATCAGCACTCAATATCGAGATAGTCGGTGAACATGTGTTACGCATGTCTTAACTATTAATTACTTAGTTATTCAACCATACACGCGTCAGTGATTGCTTGTACTTTGAAATATAATATTTTGATTCGAGCAGGTGTACGCTAAAAATATACCTTAATTAAAGCTTGGAAATCATATCAGGGTATGATATTGAATGGTAGTTGATCAAAATTATATGAGAAAATGATAACCATGTTGGCTAGAACTGGAAAGCAATAGAAACATTAGTTGGTAATAGAAGTTGTAAACAGAAGTGATTTAACAATTATGTAATATCTCGAATGATTTGTTTGACTAACGAATTGTTACTTTTTCTATTTATTTTAAAACAAAATTAAATTAGTTATAGACGTGAATTTTCAACTTCATTCGTAGATTATAATTCACATTAATTGCTGCAAATTGACTGGTTGTGTAGTTACAAATAACTTGGGATCTTATTAAATAATTCCCGAATGTAGCTATTAACTTGACGTAGAGGTCAGGCCTACATATACTGGTTTGAATATTCATTCCTATGGATTATACGACACCGTATAGTTTGGTTGGAAAGTACAGGAATTAAAAGTAACAAACTTAAAATTTAAGGGACGCATTTTATAGCTGACCGCAGTAAAGTGTGATGGCAGGATGATGTTTTTTTCAGACAATTAAAATTTGCAAACATGTTTCCTTCTCACTACGGAAGGGGAGGATTAGAGAAAGTCGACTAACGTATTTTTGTTATCAGAGATAGGGTCTTAAAAGTATGGAGATAACTTATCAGAAACTACTGACAAAATGATCGGTTTCAAGTAAGTGTTCTTTGAGTTCTGTAGTTAGGTTATTCAATCATTTAAACCGTTACTAAACGAGTTCTCTTTACCTTAGGAAGAAATATCATTTTATTGTGGGAAATCAGAAATCGACAACCACTCTCATACCTCTAACAGCACTTACAATCACCTTGTTTACATTCATTGACTGATTACTATTATTCTGTATAACTCAGGAAAACATAAGCTATTGTACAAATAATAAATGTGGTAGAATTATAGTAAGGAAAATACACATAAAGTAATAACTACAAGTGAATAAATATCAATTATAGTATTTATACGTTTTATTGCTTACTTCCATAGGAATAATTGGTCGTACAACCTCTTCGGGTGATAAATGTATACCATTTAACTCAGCGTCAACACGTCGTTTTTCATAATTGTCTAACGCTTTTTGATTTGTTACCGCTTCCATTGGAACTGGAACTGAAAGAATCCATTCATGATCAGTTTTATACGAGACCTGTTGTTGTGAAGTGTGTGGTGTTGGGAGAGAGTGAAAAATGTGGCAATTAAAACAAAATTACAGAGATCGTTTATGCAAAGAGTATAGTTTATTGCACTTTGTATTATATATCACACAGCACTGAGCAAGTACTTTTGATTAGGCTACAGTGGCTGGCCACTAGTCTAATTGATTCAATAATAACATGACCTTATGATTTAATACGAAGTTCAGTAAATAGTGTTGTTGAAATATGTTACTGGCCTATACACTTTTGCATTATAGTAGGTATGAGACATTAAAAAAATTATTATAAATCCTATACCAACAACATTGTCAGTTAATAATGTTCCCTCTAAAATAATTGAACTTTAACCTTTTTCAAAATTATTGGAAAGAGTCGGTTATTATCAATGTAAGACCTGGCGGTTTAACTTGTCTCACATGAGATATGCACTTTGAAAAGAACAAATTCGGTTGCAGAATGTTAAGTTAGGAAAATGGTATTGAGCTCACAATAAATAGGAAAGATAGAGAAATGACCGCATTTGGGCCACTGTGACCAATTTTTCGCCATGTAATTCGACATTGTGAAACGACGAAAAATAGACTGTTTCGTGTCTATGACAATTACATTGAGTAAGTTCAAAGCAATGGCCAATCGACTAACAGTTAGTAAGTTATCAAATACAAATCTTTCTTGACAAGCAAATCAGTGCGGATGTGTGGAAACAATTTCTGCAAAATGAAATAAACAGTACACCACTGGTAATATACAGCTCAACGGACTAGATCAAAGTCTGATAAATAAACATTATAACTTCAGGTAGTTTCATATTGTCCAATGTAGTACAAATAACTCAGTAACCAGGTAAACATTCGTTAACTTGTCCTTAAACCCCGCTCTAAGTATAAATGTTACCGATGCTACCCGATTGCTCAAAACAAAGTAGCTTGAAGAGCGTTTAGATCTGTAACTTAGTGGTCTGGAAGTTGAATACCTTCAATACTGAGCCACTACTTGGTAAGTCTATCAAAAGCGAGACAAACGCACATAAAGATGGAGCAACCATCAACTTACCTTATTTGTCAAACCACATTGAAGACGTTCTTCCACACCAAAACGCATCACATTACTTGGGTGTACTTTTCCGTGTTCTTGTCTATTAGCTTTTTGTTCTAATAAATCTAATAGATAGATTAAAAATTCGCAAGCATCTTGTTGCTGTCTTGTGGCAAATGTGGAATTATGCGCGCCCATTAATCGACGAAACAAAATTGGACGTATACCTGCGCATGTTTCATTTTCAATGTATGAAAATAATTCGTTAAATAAAAATTATCATAAGCCGAAAGTCTATTACCTCCCAAAAAGTGAATAAGAGAAATAACAACTATTGACTACTGAAATTGCTGTAATAGATGGAGTAATTAGACATATAATCTATTCAAGTAATCGACTCTCGATTTCAACCGAATAAATTTCATAAGCTAGCATTAACAATTAACCGACTAAATATAAATGACAATATTCAATTAATATACGTGTGGATCGGTGGTTCAGTAACAAAGACCTCCGACTTTTAGCTACTAAGCCACAGGTTCAAACCCAGCTTCACCTACTTCAATTAGGACAGTCAGATAGCATTACTACCTCTAACACATGACAGTGTGGCTCAAAGCAAAATACACGGGCCTTTACCTCGTAAGTGAGTCAATAACAATGTTTGACTATCAATGCACGATATGAAACTTAAGTAAACTCTCAAGAAAATTGTCGAAGGACTGATAATCACTGGTGAAGAAGGTAAAATGAATTAAACGACTCTTTTTGACCCAAACAAGTGTTTCAATTATGCTTATGAAGACTGTGTACATGGTGCAAGTCTAGGACGACACTCGATAGAATTGAGAGGAACATAGAACATCCGTGATTCGATGCTAGTATAACATGAAGCGGGAAAACATCTGAAGAGCTTGACATTTGAGGACTTCTAGAAACGTTTTAAACAATGGAAACGGAGATGGAACAAAGCAGAGTTGGTGTACCTTAAATGTTGTAAGACAAACCTTGTAAGTTATCGGTTTATGTAATCAATGAACAGACTATGTATATCATGATATTATAATATAATGACTGACTTACTTATCAGATAACAAATAATTAATACAAGACATTATATGTGAAAATTATATTTGAAATATTCTCAGCGATTGAAATATAACTAATTCCAACGTTTCGTCCAGCTAACTTGTCTGGACTTCTTCAGGGTAATACAAGATTTCACTGAAGATCACAACAGATTCGATGATAATTCATCTATGCGCACTCAATCACAATGTATTAAACAACCAATGTAAAATAAATACCATAAAAAACGTCTACACAGTAAATATTTCTCTACCAGACGTTTTCAAAGTGGTAATGAAACAGAATCATTGAAAGGAATAGAGCGCACATATCTGATTAAGGCGGTGTACTTTGTGATGGCAGGGATATTGTCCGGGTGTCTAAACCGAAGCAGGTGGTTTTTAGAGGACCACAACCCGAGCTCTTCACATGAAAGTCTAACAGACAAGGTAGTGGAGAAGAGTTAGGAGATGCAGTCCCATGGTAGCCGGTGACCAGTGATAGGTTCAGATATCGTTTGTTCACTCAGGATCCTGGAGTCCAGATGCGTTATCATTTTGAAATCAAAGATTTCCAGCTCCTTTAGGTGGATCCTCTGCACCCACCAACCCGGTTTAAACACCGAACATTCGCTTTTGGTTCTTTCAATTTCATTAAAAAACCACCGCTGGGATAAGGCAGTGAGTGGGACTTTTCTGGTTGTGGCTATTTGTGTGTAACCATACAAGAGAATTTAGAGTGGGAGAGCAGACTCTCCCTACCCTTGGACGTACAAGGACATTTGAGGGATAAAGTATAATAGGTATCTCATTAACATACCAGAAATGACTGTTAAATATGACAGTAATCATAATTATAAACTGACCAAACTCACCCGGGAGAATAGGTACAGGGCCACCTGTAGTAGTATGACTAAGATTATTTGGAACTAACCATGAATGAACACCCGAACAAAGACCATGTCCTAATTTCGAAAATTGTAGACCAATATGATCTACTGGTAGAAGTGGATGATCTTCAGAAGTGAATTGATCCAATGCTTCCTCACACCAAACTGGCAATTGATAGGCATAATATGAACGAAATTGTGAAATTGAAAACAAAACCTGATATTAAAATCAAATGGAAAAAATAGTCAATATATGAGACAGTGACTACTGATACAAATACTTAATCAAAAAATATATAACACGAAGCAATCACCATACTAAATAGGTTATATAAACTCAAGAACTACTTCTCTCTTTTACTCTTTCCCACAAACAAATTGTGATCGGAGAATTTTGACTTTATCAATTTCAGTCGGTCAGTACCACAGCAGAACATCGTAGGTATATACACCAGGTCAAGTTCCCACACACCATTAGCACAGATAGATGACATTGTTCGATCAAGCCTCAGAATATTGGAGATAGTAACAATAATAGTGGTAGTAGAAAACATTAGACATCGAAGATACGATTCGAGAAGAAAATCCAAATTAGGAAAATAAGAACCAAAACATTGTGAAGAAGTTAGGAACTCAGAATTTAGAGACAGACAAAGAATGGATGCACATGCAACATCGCAAACAATTTCAAGCAATGTCATGTAAATTTTCTAACCATTAGTTAGTGCCAATCACGCGGACCCCAACCAGGTAAACTACACCTATTGTCAATGACTTCATGGACTGATAGGATGTCTAGGTTTGTCCGTCGCTGTGTTTCTTTCAGCACCAGAGAACATAATCCGTCGAGGCATGCGGTGGTTGGACGTGTGTAACACATGTCCCAACCACTTTAGTTGGTGAATATTTAGTACATTACAATTCTATTTCTCATCCTTGTCTAGTGCCTAACTCCCAACCCAGATTTGTTCATGCACCGATAAAAGCCAATTCTGAAGCAATATTTGGAAGGAGAGAATCTCATCTGAAACATCTTTGCATTTTTGCTTAAAGTGGTCAGAGGACTAGTTTTTTCAGTCTACCAAACAGAACTATTTCATTTGTATATTCTACGTTAACAAAAAGATCTCCCGGAAGGTCAACCCTTGAAAAGTCAAACGATGAGTGTTTTTTTAAAGCATGTCTATGACAAGATATGTAAGAATGGGGAAAGCAGAAAACCCTGACGAACGTCGCTTGAATTAATCAATTCCAACAACAGTTCGATCAGTAGTGTTCGAGTACAGACACTGTATAAGGTAAATTTGCTTTCATGGGACGCTTTTTAATGACATACACAGACGTGGAACCTTGTGATCAAGGGTCAGACGCCGCCTTAAAGTCAGGAAATATGATTATTTTCGAACGTCGAAAAGTATGTATATGTCCCGAAATCTTCCGAGTGGTGAATATTTAGTCTGTATACCTACGTCCAGGTTTTGAAACCAGTCAGGTTTTCTCGAGTTTGCTCTTTGCGAGCCCTAGTTAGATGCCAATGTATTAATATTTCAGACACAATGTTAATTTAACTGATTCCTCTGTGATTACCACGGAAGGAATTTTGTCCTTCCTTACAGACCGGGACGATTAGTGATCATGTCCAGTCGACGGGATTAAGTCTAGTTCATAAATTCTAACCAAGATCACAGATAATCTGAATGCTAAAACTGGGCCACTATTCTTAAAAATATCAAGGATTAATCCATCATGTCCTGCTCCTCTCCCTCGCTCTTCATTTTATGAGTTTTAGAAGAAAAATATTCCTAATTTGATGTAAGGATGATAAACATTTCGGTGAAGCTGGTTACAATAGAATTGACTGAGACAATTTAAATCTTTTATGTTGGGTAAATTTAAGTTTAATAATGAGTAACTCGATGTCGAACAAGTAGAACTGATGTATAAAATCTGAATAACTTCAAACTGACTAGTAATTACTGGTGGTTTTTATAGGTCAGTATTGTATATTATAAAGTTTGCTAATTTCAAAAAACTGAATAGGAATAGTTAATGAATTATCAGGAAACAATATAAACCACTAAGTTAAGCTTCAAAATAGAGTAAATGATACAATTACATTACCACTAAGTCTAAAGCTTATCAGGTGCACCAAATACATCGTCAAAGAACATTTGGAAAAGTCCCATGATAAAAACACCACCTCAAAATCCAAAGAAATTGAAGAAAACGCGGTTGGGTAGTACATCAGTTTTATAGTGGTAACTAATCAATGATCAGTCAATAGAACAATTACTGACAAGTGACAACTGATAAGATCAATAAACTTAGGGTCCTGCTGTCCAAATGTGTGTTTTTGAAAGATGACGAAATACTTACAAATTTGTTCGGAATTTCAGATCGATTACCCAACGGAAAAAATACCAAACAAAAAGAACTAAATATAGTCGGTGTTAAGAATCATTTCAGTCAGTCAGCTACAACGTAGGACCAGGCACATATATGCATCGGTCCAAGTTACCATACCGCATTAGCACAGTAAGATGAACACCGGATTCATAGAAACAGTTAAATCAATGGTAGTAATATATAAAAGAAAGATTGCATATAGGGATATAGTACAGGAAGAAAGAATTAGTTCATAAAAAGAAAGATATGAAGCGATTTTAATCTCTTAGTTTAAAGGGAGACAGAGGGTGTATACATCGATGCCATCGTGATCGATTCTGAGCCATGTCACCAACTGTCTTCAACCACTGGTTACGATAGTCACGATGACCCCAATCAAGTAGTCTGCATCTACCAACATGGCTCAGACTAGAGGTTAGTGTCTTCAAGCACTGATGCCACGTTTTGGTTTGGCCGCCCCTAACTTTTTTCTAACCATCCCCAACACCGATTAGCATTGCGCGTCGTGGTAAACGGTTTCAGGCATACGCAACACGTGACCCAACCGTCTCAGTCGATGAAGATTCACAACTTCATTAACTGATTTACCATCGTTCCCTAATGCCCTGCGTCTAACCTCACTATTACTTACCCGGTGATCACAGCAGGTGAAAGCAATATTTCTAAGGTATCTGTGGTCAAATACTAGTAGCTTACGAGTATCTTCAACTCTTAATGGCCATGTTTCGCAGCCGTAAAGTAAAACAAAACGAACAGCCGAATCATGTGATAGTATCAATAGTGCGATTAATTATATTATATTGGGGTAATGACAAGTAATACAAAGGGGACAATCATTTGTTTAGTGTCCTACAAGTATCAGATGGACAGACAAACCTAAATGTCGGGATAAAAGATCAAATGAATCAGTACACGTAGGTGATATGTTTTTTCAAAAAGTATATGATTATGACGATGTAAATGAAGTGAAAATCATGAATGACATCAATTACTTGGAACTAATCAAACCACTGAGAGTTATTTAGGAACACTATCTCTAATTGTGCAACAACTGACATCAGAGCAAAAACCTATCTATAGTTACAGTCGCGAATATCATACACGACTAGATATACAAGAATGGCATAAAAATCTCTTAAATGAACAACTAAAATGCAAAATCAATGACCATTTGTTTGACAAGCAATTTGATATTATTATAGAATACTGGCGTAATTGTTGAGAAAAGCGACTTTTATTCAGTGATTCGCGAATTCTAACTTCGATCCACCTATTTTAATTCAAACAACTGGGTAGAATCATTGTCCCACCAATAAAATAAACCTGAACTTAGTTATTGAGGTGTATTAGAAATTCATAGGAATAACTATGGGAAAATTATAGTTTTTACACATAACATTACTGACTAACCTGTAACACAGCATTCATGTAACAAGTATTACCGAGATTTCTAAGTCCAGTCATACCTGGACCATAACGTGCTTCAAGTGTACAGTTTGATTCCTGCAATGTTAGCCACTCTCCAAGTCTCTCATTTGCATCCACTTCTAACTCGGCCATCGTTTTATCGGTTTTTTGCATAAGCATTACATCAATACCGAAGTGAGCAAGATGTTCTGCTAATTTCGGGTCGGTTACCATTGAATCTTCAGGATATGAAAATACTTCTCCACCCTTTAAAAAGTAGAAATTGTGGGAGAAATATATGTGTAGCATACCTCAATCACTAAACGAATGATTATATGACTATTTAAGCTAGAAAGCAAACAACAGTCCGTAACCGTTTCACAACGTGCATTTTTTCTAGTTACAAGGAATAAAAGACAATGTGTTGTATTTCCGGTATAGTTTGACGCTAGCTATGTATTAATGTATTATCATGACGATTCCAATGAGGATCAAATGATTTCGTGATATCCTTTATGTATATCAATGCAGACTGCTTTAGAGATCTGTTTGCACATAAAATATAGACAAGAAATCATGCAAAGACAAAAATATCTGAAAACTTTATTTTCCAACCGTTAGACAATGACAATATTTTTGGGGATATTGTGATCACTATCTAGTCAATGGATTATGATTTATTGATTGATTGATACGATGAAAGAACGTATTTCAAAGAACAGAGCAGATCAAAGTTTCGCTGGTTGGTGCTCATCGATCTAACGGATAAAAGTCCTAAAATACTGTACACTATTTCGTCTTGTTGAGCCAGTAAACCTACTGATGACACCAGAAAAATAACAGACCGGGAGCGATATAGAAGTATTGAAACGAAGATTTATTAATGAAAAAGTATGCATTCTATATTTCCATGTTAACCACTAAGCAGTTAAGTAGTTGATATAGCGATTAAAACTGAACGGTTTGATATTGTTGATTAACAAGTGGGGTTTAAGAATAAAACATTTAGATGTGTTACTCCAGCATAACTAACAAACGAATGACACAAATAAAACCCTTTATATGAAACTTTAGGGTATGTATAAATACTGAACGTAATGGATTAAGGGACTACATAAAACTGCTGTTATTAAAGATTCACACCACCCGAATGTGTGATATATGCTGAGATGCATTTAAAAGTTATTATAGTACCTTGGGAGTTATAGTTCCAAGTTTGACAGCTAGCGGATACTTGGTCTTTTCATAATGCTCCAAGGCGTGATTATTTCCTCCAGACCCATCCCAAAATTTTCGACCACAAAGTATGGTTCCGTCAGTAAGATTCATCCACAGATTATCTCTCAAATCACATTTGGAACATTTCCATCCACTAAAAAATTATTTACAAATTAATCCAAGTAATTTGCTACACAAATCTCGATGAGAAATAAAATTAAACGTGCAACTTTATGAGGGTTTTTGATAAATGGAAAATTTTTATCTTTTATTCAACTCAGAAACATGTCATACAGTATTTTATGTGATTCATCTTGTGAGATCAATTTTGTATTCAGTTGGTATCAAGACAAGTTGATAGGAAATGACATGCATTCTGGTAATTTAACCGAATGTATTTTTATGTTAGGTTTTCAGCTTCATAAGACAGTTATTTTATCCTATTGTTTCCTTAGTTGACCGAAATAGTCTTCAGTCATACAGAATAGCCCCTGCCCAAGTGGCATCACTGGAGAATGAATTTTGCTGAGCGTCAACGAATATGACCAGTTTTTTAAATATTCTGTTACAACAAAATGTGTAGCAAAACTTGAAGGTTTAAAAATGGCTTGATTGAAAGTAGTACGATTCCTTAACTGAAGTGCATTTAACAAAACCTTAAGATATAAACTTAACAGAGGCACCTCATAAGACACTTCACAAAATACCATATAGAGAAAACTCCTGGAAAGAGAACAGTAAGTCATATACAGTAATTTAGGCATACTACGATGTATCCGCCCCCAAATGCCCTGGTATGGCCAAGAGATGAGAGGGCCCGCCCTCCCTCTCGAAATTCTCTCACATGGCCACGCGTATACAGCCTCTGCCAGGAAAGTCCTACTCACTGCCTTCTCACACCAGGGGTACTGTTTACGAAAATGAGAGGACGAAAAGCGACAAATGGCGTACGAACCAATTGTTGGTTACCGGCTACCATTGGACTGCATCTCCAAACGAAACTCCACTGCATTGTGGGTCAGACCTTCAGGTCAAAGGCTCGAGGTGTGACCCCCTTAAAAAACCACCTGCTTCGGTCTGGGCACCCAGGCAGTATCACAGCACACACACAAATAGAATGAAATGATGATACTTACGGAAAACACTATTCTTGCCTCGATTAACAGTCAAACGATTCACATTATTATTCATATATTATTATTATTATTTACTACGTCACTTATTCACTCTCTCTTATTCCCACTCTGTGTATCATTACTTTTCGATTTATACAGCAGCTCGCTTATGGTGAAAACTCGGTTCTATCTAAACGTTCTCGAGTCACTATCCGGTTGAAAATTGAATGCTACCACCAAATACGAATACTGAAGCAGTTTCTCCAAAACCACATGCACCATTCAAACTGGCTGCCTTCAACGTTCGCACACTAATGAAGATCGGACAACAGATAGGGCTGGCTAGTTTTCGTTCCAGTCGATGATGTATTGATCATATCTTCACCCTCTGCCAAATGTTAGAACATCGTCATACTTTTCAAAGGCCAACAATCGCAGTGTTTCTTGACATCAGGGCTGCCTTCGATTCGTTGGACAGGACTGTTCTCTGGGATTGTCTATTGAAGAAGGGTGTGCCTGAGAAGTTTATTAACATCCAAAAGGCCCTATATACAAACACCTCAGGCAGAGTGAGGGCATACAACCACCTCTCTCTCTGTTGTTCCATTCGAGCAGTGGGGTTAGGTAGGGTTGCCCAGTCTCACCATTCCTCTTCAACTTTGCCATCGATGACATTCTGGGAACAGCTATGATGGATGTAAGTATTGGCGGTGCGGATCTGTTGCCTGGAGAAAGACTTCTCGACCTTGAGTATGCGGACGATATTGTCTTAATGTGCGATAATGTCCAAGCCATGCAATCCGCACTTAATCAGTTGACAATCAATGTCCGTAGGTATGGTATGTGCTTTGCACCTTTGAAGAGCGAAGTACTTCCACAAGACTGGTAGGATTCTAATCCTGTATTCACCCTGGATGGTGAGCAGATAGAAGTAGTCGAGAAGTTCGTGTATCTGGGTAGCTGCATAAGTGCTGGTGGGGGTGTGAGTGGTGAGATCAATGCACGTATAGTGAAAGCCAGAGCGGCTTATGCCAATCCGAGCCACCTTTGGCGCCTTCGTGATGTTAGTCTGGCTGTAAAAGGCCGGATCTACAGCGCGTCGATGAGAACAGTTTTGCTTTATGCTTGTAAAACCTGGCCTCTCCGAATTGAGGATGTTAGATGACTCTGTGTTTGATCATCGATGTCTACGAAGAATTACTGACATCCAGTGGCAACACCATGTTAGTAATGCAGAGGTTCGGCATCGTGTGTTCGGACACAGAGACGATAATGCAATTGGTTTCACCATCTTGAAACATCGACTTCGGTGGCTTGGACATGTTCTACGAATGTCGTCCCAGCGAATTCCACGTCGCGCATTATTTGCCGACTCTGGGACTGGTTGGAAAAAGCGGAGAGGTGGTCACTGTATAACACGGTGTCGTGGTATGAAAGAAAGCTGCAAAAGACTGTCTTGTGTTGGTCCTTCACGACTCCCTGAATGGGGTCCGAGAGATGGTGCAACACAGTGGCTAGAGACGTTATCACATATGGCTCCGAATAGAAGCTAGTGGCGATCCTGCCGTGGTTGTATCTTCCTCAACTGAAAAAATTCTTCTGGTTGTACCTTTCCGTTTCTCCCATTATTATTATTATTATTATTATTATTATTATTATTATTATTATTATTATTATTATTATTATTACACTACCTTACACTAATCTGTGGTCGTTATTGTCCTTTTTTATGCGCTCCTTACCATTTTTTATCTTCCCGTTCTCATTGTTTTGTGTGGCGCATATATATTTGGTGCCCCTCGTACCAATATTTATGTGTTCAAATAAATAAATAAATAAAAATAAAACCATGTATCCTGTTAACAGTTGAAGGGTAGAGGATGATATTGTTTCATAAATATACTGGACGCAGTGAATGCATATAGGAATATAATTAGTAATCCAAGTTGATGAAAGAGTGATGCAAGACGATTTGTTTATTTAAAAACAATATATAAACTAGCAGAATAAGTAATGTTAACCTACAACGGGGGAATCCGAACAGAATTATTTATTTGTGCTAAATTCATTGCATACGAAGAAATAAAACAAATATTATCATCTTCCCAAGCTTTAAGTGAATTAGCTCGTTCTTCTGCCAGTAATACTGACTCAGCACGTTGAATTGATGCGATTGAAATAGCTATGTGTTTAGGAAGTTCCAAAATCTCTAGATGAGATATATCAGATTGTCCTTGTCCGGGTTCTGGATTCGGGATATCAAATGAATCGCCTTGCGGGAGACGTACTAGAGACCAATGTTCAGTGACTGTATACATATCTTGGGGAAAGTCAAAACCTCCAGAAACTCCAATAGCGAGTTTTGTTGGGCGTTCTTGAGTACTAGCACCTACATAATCACAAAAAAAGTTTCTTATCTAGACAGTCAATAAGTCAGCTACGACATAAGATCAGGTACGTGTATGCATCAGTCCAAGTTGCCACACTTCATTAGCACAGCAAGATGAACACCGAATTCATAGAAGTAGTTAATTCAATGATGGTAAAATATAAAAGAAAGATTGCATATAAGGATATAGTACAGGAAGGAAGAATTAGTTTGTAGAATGAAGCATATGAATCTATTTTAATCTCTTAGTTTAAAGGAAGACAGAGAGTGTATACACCTACGCGATTGCGATCGATTCTGAGCCATGTTTCAACCGTTGCTGTTACCTCGACGTGGCGGTCGGGCTTACCTATCGTGATGATCCAATAGAGCTATACTGGCTGGAACAATCGTTCATCAAGGTTCTACCATGCAAGATAGGTCGATTGAAGTACGGTAAGACTAAAAGTAGCAAACCCAAGGTCTGAAGGGGAAGTCGTACTGCTGACTGTATAGATGTGTGACAGCAGTAAGGTGTTTCCTTTAGACAACCAGCATAACAGTGATGCTGCCTTCCCACAAAGAAGGGTGGTGTTAGAAAAGGTCGACCCTAAAAACGCACACCTCGCCCCATCCCACGGATATCCGTCTCCAGCGGCAAGGTCTCAATAAGTATGGAGCGGACATGAAAATTACTCACAGAAAGGTCGTGTAAACGGCCTCGAGCAGTTGTCCCTTGAGCACAGCGGTCACGCTTTCAGGTCTCTAAGACTACCTCTATTCTAATTTCCTTATCAGGTGCCTCCAGAAAAACCCTTCTACGGTGTGGGCAACCGACAAGTGATACCCTCCCTCATACCTTTAACAGCACTCAAGACCACTATATTCGTAATCAACCTAACTCTTATCTAGACACGTAAACCAAAGATGATGCAACTCATTAGATTACATTTTCCTGTGACATAATTCCCAATTAAGTTATATCAAACGATACTGACTATAAGAAGGGCAAACAACCTAAAATGTTACTGAAAATCTCAAGTCTCACTAATCACTCTGGTATAGTGAGGGAATCAAGAAATAAAGGTACTGGAGTCTAAAAGATGCAATAGGAAACAATTTCATAATTATTGTGCAAGGGTGTATGGATGTAGTATACGTATCGTTAGCTACAAGAGACGACTGTTACTGATAATTAATTATGTAGTAAAACGGATATGTAGATGAGTAGTCTTCGCAACAAGTTCTAATCATCTTCGACAGTAATACATTCAAATTAGCTACACAAAATAATGATCAAGTTAAAGGCAAATAAACTGCTTAAAATTATAGCACACAAATTAAATATTCAGTGAAATTATTAGTGCTGATACAACTAGAACACCAGATTACCTCGACTAAATTTGTGTCTTAAATTAAATGAGGTTGATCGGAATAAAGTTATTTAGGACTACGACGTCTTAGTTTTACCCACATTGGTTTTTGAGAGATAAAGATAATACGTTAGTCTGAAAAATTTGGCTAATAGTTTTTTAAAGGAGTGTGAAGGATTTCAGGGAGTGATTATAAACAGAAGATTAAGGTAGTCTAACAAATTAACCAGAAGCCCCGAAAAATTGATAATAAATTCAAATGCGTTTCATGGATATTAAAGTCAGAAGCAAATATTTTTCAGAGGCCATATTGTTAATTACTATTATAAACTAAAGTTAAAATAGAGGCAAAATGAAAAAGCGCGGTAAGTAACGATAGGGATGAAAAGAAAAAATAGAGATAGTATAATCTAATCCGGATAATGAAAGACCAACGGTTCTTTGAATGACGATCGTTAGCATAACAAAATTCCTCTCCCAAGCCTCAAAACAGCTAAGGCATGGGTAATGTGGAACAATCCAACAAATAAATAAGCAACAACGTTCAATATGTAAACTACCCTGAGAAATACAGTACAATGACTTTATAAAATCAGGAATTTTAGAGAAAACGATCTAACTGTAATAGGCGGTCATATACTTGCACCCGAAAACTTGAGATTACGATTTTTACTTCGTATCTTGAAATAAGGTGGAAGTGAAATACCAAAAGATTGAAAACATACCCTTATCTTTGAATTGCTTTTCGATCTTGTATCTTAGGAAAGCACGACAGCCAGTCTTCTCATAGTAAAGCCTAAGGATCTTAGAGCCAATTGCAACGAAGTGTCGCATGCATATGTATATTCCTTTTTCTGTCTCAGGTGTCTCAAACGAAAAAGGACATTCATCCTTGAAAACTTTTTCCCCGTCACCAGGAACCCTGACTTGAGCAGATAAATCCTCGAAAATCGATTCTGACATTGATGACAGACTGATTCAGAACCAATAAACAAAGGAACTTTATGACAGTTGGTTAGTATTAGAATGAATTAACAGTTGTACGCGAACCAACAGGCGTATTTGACAAGACGCTGAAAGTAAAATAATAAGGTAAAAGGTGAGCAGTAAAATTCACATAAAATCGTTTAACAATCACTTTCATGTTAACAGACCTTGTATACTAGGTTGAGAAGATGACTTCAGAATGTGAACTACAGATACACGCCCAAATCATCAGATAGTCCCAATGTCCTTGAGCATCAAGCCGCTAATGTGTAACAAACTCTATGAAAACAGATAAAACAAAACACCTGATTAACTATTGAGACGATATTATACTACTTTGCAGGATAATAGCGACCGTTAATATTACCCGAAATTTTATGAATAAACATATCAATCTAAACAACTTGTCAGACAGTGAGACCGCATCGTCTAACCTGTGAACATTTTCAACATAAGAGCAACTTGTAAACATCTTATGGTGAATTTCATGTGTTTTATAAAGCATATACCTACTGATAAACCAGATATTAAACCTCAAAAGTTAGCGCTAGTGACAAGTAAAATGTAAAGGAAATAAATGAATTTAAGCTTTCGGCCTCAAATTGTTTATTACTGGTAAAATCAGTACCTAACTATTGTTTATAGCATGCCGAACAAGCAAACCCCTCGAATTTGAAGAGACGTTTAAAACAGTAGTGAATAATGTGTCTCCAAAAGCTCCTTTGTTGTCCGATTGTAATGCGAATCAGTTTAGCCTAGGACATAGTCTTGATATGTGCTAAGGTATCTCAGAGAAAATGATTACTTTAGTAATGACTATCAAGTCTTTTTAAAAAACAGCTATGAGAGCAACAAAATAAATTCAGTGAAGCCTAAATATGAACCAACAACAAAGAAAAGAATCCAGATAAACGAGACCAGACTTTTCAGATACTATGGTCACTTTCAATGAATTGGAAGTGATTATTAAAAAGTATCTGACGGAAAGGTAGGGGTGTGACCGATATCTCTGATGCAACTTGACTCCTATTACGTTGGAGCTCGGCGTGAAGTGACGGCAGACTTACTGGTAACTTTAATTAAGTCCTTATGCCTGATACTTCTCATGGAGGAGCATAGGACATTCACCAACACTGTCCTGGGTAATCCTTTACAGCTCTTTCCAGTTGTTTCATCCTTTTCATATCTGCTTCTATTTCCCGACGTAATGTGTTCCTTGACGTTCCTCTTTTTCGCTTCCTTTCAGGATTCCAAGAAGGGTCTTGCCTCGTGATGCATTCTGATACTTATCACGGTGTATATCCCATCCATCTTCAACGTCTTTCACTAATTTCCTCTTCAGCTCGAAGCTTTCGCTGATGGTATCCAGCCAATGGTTGTTGAGTATCTCGCATAGACAACTATTTATAATTACTTGCATCTTATTGATGATGGTTGTAGTAGTTCTTCAAATTTCAGCTCCGTAAAGTAGAACTGCCTTGACGTTCGTATTGAGGATTCTGAATTTGATAGTGGTTGGCAGTTGTTTTGAGTGTCATATGTTTTCCGATTATATGAATGAGGCCCTCGCTTTGCCAATCCTCGCCTTTACGTCTGCGTCCGATGGTTCTTGTTCATCGATTATGCTTACCATGTACGTGAAAGATTCCACACCTTCCAGAGTTTCGCCATCAAGTGTGATTGGATTGATGATCTCCGTGTTGTATTTGAGGATCCTGCTTTTTCATTTGTGTATGCTGAGGCAGATTGATGTAGTCGAGGCTGCTGCTACACTAGGTTTCTTCATCTGCATTTGTTCATGTGTATGAGATAGGAGGGCCAGGTCGTCTGCGAAGTTCAAAGTGTCTAAATGATTCTGAGCTGTCACTTGTGTCCAAAATATTCTTCTATCCATACTATCAAACCCCTTCTCATAGTCAAGGAAATTGATGTACAGTGACGAGTTACATTCAGCTGATTGCTCAACGATGCTCCGTAGTGCCGCAATTTAGTCTGCACACAACCAATGTTTGCGGAATACGACCTGTTGATTTCGAATTTTGGCGCCTATTGCGTTTTTAATCCATTTCAGCGACAGTCTGTTGAAAACTTTTCCAGGAACTGACAGCAGTGTGATGTCTCTGTAGTTCTCACACTTGCTCAAATGTCCTTTCTTTGATATCTTGATGGGGTGTCCTTCATTCCAGTTCATCGACACTTGTTCCTCCTCCCAAATCTTCTTAAATAGAACGTGAAGCATGTTTACTATTATTTCACTATCTGACTTCAATATTTTGGCTGATATATATTTTCAGGTCCTTCTGCTTTCCCGCTCTTGATCTGCCTGATGACCGTCCTGATCTCTTTGCTCGTCGCTGAAGTGACAGCTAAAAGAAGGTCTGTGTGTGCGGCTTCAGTGTCCAGTGGATTCAGTAGGGCTGGTTCATTCAGAAGTTCCCCAAAGTACTCTGTCCCTCTGTTCTTGAATTTCAGTGATTGGCCTGCCTTCTAGGTCAGTGACCGGTCTCTCTGCTTTACTGTTTCCCAGCTAGTTTCTTCGTTGTATCATATAGTTGTTTCACATTTTTTTCTCTTGCAGCTTTTTCCACCATCCTCGCTAGTTCTTCTACGTGTATTTACTTGTCGGCTTTAATGCTCTTCTTCACTTGTTTGAATAAATCTTGCGCTTCATCTACCTTCTAGAGTTTAAGTGGCTCGGAATCTGACTCCAGGTAGGTCGTATGTATGATTTATCAAAATATACACACAGGTTGCCCTCGGATATAATCATCGGCTTAAGTGGCGTTAGTGCATAATGGAATTAAATAAGTCAAATAAGAGAATGGAATTTGAGCACGTATATTTCATACAATGGTTGATTGGGAAGCTAAGCAAAGCGAAATGACGTGCAATGGAGGATAGTGAGCCAGCCCCACTTAACCAAGCGTTAATCGATATTTATAGTAGAACAAAAATAAGTTGCAGAACTGTGATGAGTAAGATAAGAAATGCACACAAATATGCTTACATAAAAACAGTCAAGGTTGACAAGTGAATAAGTGACATGACCAAAATTTGATTTAAGGAAATTGAGTAGGTTGATCTATCCAGAGGCCGGAATAACCTATGTGGGTTCTATATATGTACCAAAATGTATGGTCTATTTTTCTCGATTTTCAAATTTTACCTCAACAAGATATGGGAATAATGAAATGTTACTGATCTGCAAAGAAATTATTTCTCGGATTAAATGAATCTACACCATAGGAGAGTAGACAGTGTTTGTCGGATGGTTTGCCGAGTGTCGTCGAAGTCGAAAATGACTGACGATGTTTCGTCAGTCGACAAAGTAACGGGACAGTAGTAAACCTGCATTCTATCCACGAATCGAAGGGTTAGTTACTGGAGAAAAGAGCAATCTTTGACAACTAACAAAGAGACGATTATTACACCTTTTGACATAGGTGTGTATATCACTAACGTGAATGATCGGTGTCGAGTGACTGACAGTCTACACGAGTCAGACGGGAATTGTGTGACCAACGAGTTAACGTCAGGGTCACACCTCTCAGTTAATACCCAACGTGGATTACTCTTCCGTCGTATTCAGGCATCATGGCTGATTTGGTGACCATACAACACAAACGACGTTATTACGGTGATATATTTGTAAGAGTAAGTGCAAAAAACAGAGTGCAACCACTTCTGCATGATCCAGTCCATGGCACCCCATTCATCGATGCACGTTGGTTGACCTTAATCTCGACGAGGATCAGTGAACTGTTGAACATTCAGTGACCTGACTACCGAACGATTTGACTGGTGACATTTCACTGACCCTACATGAGTTGTCTGAACGAACCCGTGTCAGTTGCACTGAACCAAAACTACGACAAGATGTACAACCCTCCACTATGTGTGGCCATACATTCGACATATATGACTGAGGAAACCCCTTTAGTGTTAGACAAATGAGAAGTAAGCAGTAACCGAGCACCTAAGTCAGATACGATCAATAGTGTCAGCGGTCACAAGTGACTATCAACGAGCCAGCGTTTGTTAGTATGGAAGTAGCTAACGTGTCTCACATTTACCAGTGACGATGATTATCACGTAGCCTAGGTGTGCGCACAACTACAGAGACAAGTGTGTCCCAAGTTTTCAGCCTGTTGCACCTCACAACAGTTAATCCATCACATTTGGTGGCAGTAAACGTGAGAAATTCAAGGGATAAAATCGACTTCCTTCAGGCTTAACATCAGTTTAAAAAATGCCTCCCACAACCATGTTCACTGCTTCAACAGATGACCTAGATCGGCAGGACAATAGCAGAGTAATCAAAGTGCTTTTCGCTACCACTTGACCCCAATCATAATCCTATAACACAGGACAACGCTAACAGAGTCACAACAACACGGGGAAAATGCTCTCGCCACCCAGTTCTCACAGATATAGATAAATTCCTCCACCCCACAAAACGTTCAAAACATTGCAATCAGCTACTGACCTACATGAAACACGTGTAAGTAACAAATACCTAGTTACCTACACGATGGTGTAGAGGGAGTTGGAAGGGAATTATGGGAGAATAGAAACATGTGTTTTCATCCTTAACTGATGGTAATCGTTTTGTAGCGGTAAATAAATCCTCAAAATAAATAGCTCTGTAAGTCTTCGACACTGGGTGCTGACCATATTAGTTTTAATGGACTCATCTAGTTAAAGGCGCTTGGTCATGCATTCGCATCAGATCACGAGTGGGAACGCCGTGCTCAACATCCCCTGTATTCGCTAGCCAGATTAGATTAGACGATCCTCGATATATTGATAGCCTACCAAATATATCTTCGAACCTCCTCACTCCTGTCTTTTGATTTCACTTGGTGGGTACGATTCGTATTGGAAGGTGTTACTGATCGAAGCGTTGTTGAACTCCAAATACCTGTGGCATTCTTCAGTTACAATTGAAATATAGCTCCTCCTGACGCCACAGACAAGGAAGTGAATGTCAAAGTAGCATATTATCCAAATGTGATACGGAGTCTAAAATATATCAGTGGCCACCCAAAGGTTATAATACCATCAAATACCATATCGGCTGAGTTGCCGGAGTCTACCTGATGTTCTTCCAGTGTCAAGAGTACCAAGAACTTCATTGGAAGGACATACCGTTGTGAATGTAGCAGAAGTTTTAATAACAATGATTGACTCATGAACTCAACTATTAATTTACTGTAATATCCACGAAATCCCCTTCTGATACTAGTCATCATTTGCTCACTAGTGACTGACTTGAAGAGGTATTTTCTGGAGTTCTAGTGAGAAGTACTGACCAGTGGAGTGCAACCGAATTTGTTGTGAGGTACCAAGTCACTGAAGATAATGGTGTACGGTGGCTCAGTTTCGTGGATTGATTAAAGTTAGGCATTAACACTGTGAGATGCTGTCCGGCTCAGTGGTCTAGAAGTTAGACGTTCGCTCACTAGGGCGATAGGTCCTGGGTTCGAGTCTTGAGAGGCGGGATCGTGGATGCGCACTACTGAGGAGTCCCACAGAAGGACAAAACGTCGAATATGATTTAACTGGTTCTCTGTGGTGTGGTTGGGTGAGATCCATGTAGGTTTTTGTGCGAGTATTGTGCCGCTAATAACCAATTTGCTGAATGCATATAGGTTTGTAAATCTCTCACCATTTTTGTTTCTCTCTCTGTGTCTTTGTCATTCCATGATATCTTCATATCTGGTGTTGTCTATTCAGACTTTGGCGTTTAGATCTCCCATTGGGATGGTGATGATATAAAACCATGTAACTATATAATTGACTTCATAAGAAAGAGAAAGCAAAAACAACAAAGCTATTAGTTAAAATGTTTACTCATCTTGTAAAGGTTTGAAACTGTACACACCCAAGAAGGAAACAGTGATGATGATAATAAGAACATGTTATTCTGAAGTACTTCTTTGAAATTTAAAGTTTTATGAAAAATGAAGAAAAATTATAAAAATAATTAAGGCATAAGTAACAGGTAAGGGATGGACACAATCACGTACTCACTGGTGGATATGTGTTAGCAAAACAACACAAAAAAACTGTCTAAGAAAATAAAATCACACACACACGAGATACAGTATGTTTATAAAAATTGTTTAGAACGAGATAGAAATTACATACAAATATAGTAGTGATTGTTGATCTCGTGCATATTAGTTGAATAATTGTAACAGTTATGTGAAGCAAAAAAACTCCTGAACAACACACGGATAATAATAGTGGCAAAGTTTTTACATGAAATATGTCGAAGAAATTATTGCTGTGATGAAGATCAGGGCTGATGGATGAACTAATAAACGGGTGTGGAAAAGTAAAATGCTAATAGGAAAACGATACTGAAGACATAAATAAATACACACAAGGTCTCACAAAAACACACATATCTAGTAGTGTAAATGAATTGCTTACGCAAAAAGTACAACAATAACTATACATAAAAATAAGTTTTTTTAATGACGAAAACGTGAATGACGATGTTTGTTATGATGATTATAACTATGAACAATTACAGATGGCTTCTTGCGAGAGCCAACAGGACGTGGAGACCTCGACAAACGTGGTGACGGCCTACGCGATGACCGACGTGATGATAATGAGGGGGAGGAAGGTGGACGACGTAATGGCCTGATAGATGGTGTAGGCAAAAGAGCGCAAGGATTCGAACGTTGTATGTTGATAGTGACTGGCAGTGGATTAGTAGACGGAAGAGGAGAACGAGTAACACATGAGTTTCGTCTACTTACTGGGTCAGGTAACAAGTGGCGAGCCGAATGGACTGGTTGGTAATTAGTAGGTTTAATTGTAAATATTCTTTTACTAGAAGACAAGGAAGTCGGTTTTTCCCGAAACCTGGGTACACTTCTATTACTACTATGACTACTCTTGTAATCATTATTCATGGGTGGAGATGACTTATTGTATACATTTTGTGGTGTAGAGCATCCAGGATGAATAGGAGGTTGTGGAATTAATTTACGATAATCAACATCTTCAGTAGATGATGAGAACCATTGTTGAGTAGAAGGATATAATGACTGGTTGACATTGTTGATAGTGGCATTTGCGATTAAAGGACGAAGATCAATATCACCAACAGAATCTATTGAAGATGTTTTAACAGTCTGATTCTCCATTTTGATATTTTCAGTAGATAATGCTAAGACAAGAAATAATAAAATATAGGGATTTTATGAGACTTTACAAAATAAATATACATGTAACTGTTCTCAAGAATTATTAGTTTAATGTAGGAGAGAGTGAACATGTTTAGTATAATTATCCTCGAATTCCCGTAACTATAATTTTTAATACTGAAGTCAAAGATTGGAAGTTATTGAAAAGTTCGTTGAAATACGACTGATCGGCAACAAGTTCAACAACAGCATTAAAGGATGAATGACTAAAGTGATTTACTTCGGCTTTAAATATTTCAACAATAACATATTTGACTAAAACAGCATTTAATTGATTCAAGTGATTTCTGATATCATATGGGGGATCATAAAGCGAGTAATACTTAAGTTGGGAGAGTGGAGGTTGTAAATCAGTTAATGAGATTGTAGATATTTGCTTACTCAGGTGACTGAGATAAGGGTTACGCGTATCTAGTCACCACCTACACTAAAGTGCTACCCTGTATGTTGTAAGAGTAGATCAGAGGAGAAATAGACAAGAATGGCAAGACGATTTGTAACAACTCCTGGATTGTGTTTATGCAAACTAATCCCTGTAAGGTTGAGTGGATTTTTATACAAAAAGGGATATAAATCAAACAAAAAGTAAGTGACAAGCAATAAAATTATTCAACTTTTAAATGGAAACAAAGTGAGACCTTTCCAATATTTAGATCCTATCACCGCTTAGTAGAAAAACACTTGTAAAGAAACATGTTAATACCTTCTTCATTAAACTGAACAGGAGTTGGTACGTAAGCGTCTTTCGACAATGAATTAAACAAAGGTGAACATAATTTATCATCTGACGGCAAATGAACTGCGATTTCTTCTGTATTGCTCGGTGTCTCTTGATCAGGATTCAATATTGGCGGTGAGGATGATGATGATAATAACGATGGTAAAGGATGTGAAATATTTTCGACATTTGATGTCACATTGATTGGTCTAGTCAATATAATTAATAATTGATTTTCTACAACGGCATCACATCCGGTTAACTGGAATTTCGATAACAAATCCACCGGTAGTAGTATATCTTTTAAATGAGTATTTCCTATCAATGGATAGAGTAAACAATCATTTATACCCTGAAAACGCGGTTCTAAACTACCACATGCATTGATCTCTTTTAAATGATTAAATATATCTTTATAGATATGAGACATTTGTTTAGTTCTCGGTGTAACACGAAGTGCAAACAATTCCTAAATGAACAAACCAAAAAATAGAAGAGTTGTAATAGAACAAGCAACAATAATAAAGCAATAAGATGAATAAATGAATGGAGAAAAAACGAGGGGGGGGTTATGAACCCACGACTGTCAGATCTCGAGATGAGTAATTAATTATTTGAACATAAAAATTGGTACGAAGGGGCACGTATATATATATATATATATAGATATATATATGCACCACACAATATAATGAAATTAATTGAAATATCACAATCTTGAGACATCGAATACGGTGGGTTGACATGTTTGACTCTAATAAATTCGTGATACAGTACAATTATGTCTCGATCCCATTAGTGAATAAGTTCCTCTTATCTGACATGGTCAGCTTCTCAATGAAACTTCGGTAATTACGTTTAGAAATAAGTCACTACAAATGACTAGCCTCATACCAGGATAAAACAATTGCTTTGTGCTTCATAGTTTAAAATAGTTGTCTACCTAAGGAAAAAAACATATTCGCGCACCTATTACAGTACGGAAGATAATACAAGATTGAGTCTTTTCTAATAAAATCCATCAAGATAAATGTTCTTGTTTTCTTGCTAAAGTCAAAGGGCACTTTTAACTCACTAGATAGCTTTTTTCAGTAAGTTTTCCTCTGTTCTTGTAAGAATAATCTGAATGTACAGTTTCATGTAAATTAAGACTAACTGATTGGTAGTTCATACATCCTGGATCAATGCTAATGAACGAATCACTCGAAACATAAGAGCACTAGATAACCGTATTATTCTACTTTTGGGCTCTTTGAAAGTACACATTAATGACCCCAATCAAGGATCCAGTTCAGAACTTTCAGTTTTCGTGTTGACCATTTATATTTTAAACTAAAAGTCGAATGAATTTGCGATTCACTCAAGAGAAAAAGTTTTTAATGGTCGCACAATAAGGAAAATCAGTAAAAAAAGAGATTGCCGAATAAACATATCATTTAACTTACTCTAGGATGTGTTGAATCTAACAATGTCTGTCCTAAATAAACTGGTAAACTGATTAAATTCACTCCACGACTAACAACGAGTGATGTTTGTTTACCAATTAATAAAGATTCCCATTGGATCATTTCATTTTTATCATTATTACCAGGATAATTTAATATTTTCGGTTGAATATATCCAAAAGGATAAACATTAATCTCTAAACTGAACATATGTTCACGACCAGAATATTGTGTTGATAATGATAACATTCCAGACCATAATAGACAAGGTTTTGAATTGAATTTTTCCCGATTCGACAATAAATAACTATTCTCGTAGTTTGTTTGTGAATTGAATGATGATTTATTATGCAAACTAATTTGTTGTGCTGGTGGTAAAGGCAAATCTAACAGACCTGTTGAAACACCACTGGATGGTGGATGATAATTAGGAGAATGAGAAAAGCTATTGAGTGGTTTTGTTGAAATAGAACTATCTTGTGTAGATGGTGCAAATAGTGACTGATCATTGAATCGTTTTAAATTCGATCTATGAGGAAAACGAAAATCGTAAAATGAATAATTTGAATTTAATTCGATATTTTCTTAAAGTAAATGTGTAATTGATTCAACGTGAAATGCATTTTTTCTAATCAAATTCATTTAAATATATGTCTATTTTTTCTCCCACACAGATATCGACAGTATATTTTCACAATAATTAATATCTATTCAGCTGTGTGTTCCCATAGAGATAAGCTTTACTCACTGGATTTAAAATTTACTATACCCATCTCTACGGTTACTGCCGACCTCAAGCCTTGGTGAAGGAGAAGAGTTGAGCATGAGATTAACAAACTCATCACGTAAAAAAAACCTCGTTAAGAAAACGCTAACCTTGGGTAAAATTCAATTTTAGATAAATAATTCAATGTCCAATAACTGGTAGTGAGCAGTTAGAAGTAGTCGAGAAGTTCGTGTATTTTGGTAGTTGTGTAAGTGCTGGCGGTGAGGTGACTGATGGGATCAATATGCTAGTAATGAAAGTCACAGAGTCTGATGTCGATTTGAGGCATCTTTGTGATGTTAATCTGACTGTAAACAGTCGATGGGTTTCCCTCTATACTTGTGAAACCTAGTCTCTCTGAACTGGGGATGTTAAGAGACTTCCTGTGTTTGATTGTTGTTTTTTCTGAAGGATAGCTGACATTATTAAGTGTCAATATCATGTTAGTAGCATATAGGTTCGGCAACGTGTTCAGGGATAGAAACGACAATCTGATTGCTGTCACCATCTTGAAACACCAACTTCAGTATCATGGACATTTATTGTGAATATCGTCCCAGCGAATCCAATATCGTGAATGATTTGCCAACAATGAGGTTGGTCGGAAAAAGCAGAGGGGTGGTCAGTGTATGGCATGATTTCATAGTAAGAAAGAATACTGTACAGGACTAGCTTTGTTGGTGCTTCACAATTACCTGGATGGGATCCTATAGACGGTGGAACAAAGTGGCTCGAGACTTTATCAGACACATTTCAGAATAGAAGCCAGCGGTGGTTCTGCTATAATTTCCTTCTACTTTTTTCATAAAGGTGAGAGGAGCATCTTTAACCGACAGGATTCCTTTTCGTTGTATTTTTATTAACTAAACTACTTCTCCTCTTATTATCCTTAACATTTTCACTTTTTTATACACTAATTTCTATTCAGTTATGTACTGTTCACATTATACCCACCTTTCTATATCACTTCACAATCCCATTTTTTATTGTGTGGCGCAGAGATATTTTACTGCCAGTGTGTACCAATACTCATATGTTTGAATAAATAAAAATAAATTAACAGATGAATGAAGAAAAACTTTTAGAATCCTATAAGGATCAACATTCATCAAAAGTTCCCCATGTAAGATTAATTATACACATAGAACACAAGATGATGATAATGATGATGAAGGTATTGTCCTGAGCAAGAATGTAATAAAACTATCAAAATTTAGAATTTACGTAATACGTTGACTCATGTTATTCTATTTACTAAAGCCAACATTCAAATATGATTGGGTTAGCACAGTATAGATTTAATTGTTAAACGATATATATTTCTTTGATGATTCTAATTACTACCTTGAAAAAGTTCAGACAAGTTTGTTGGAAGAAACGTTAAAATTATTTTAAATTTCAATCACTAAGATTATTTCAAATATAATGAATGACTTCTCTATACTCGGCGACAAATTTTTGTCAAACTATTCGTCCTAATATTGATGAATATTCGTATAAATACGTTGAAATTGTTTATTAATTACACAAAAGAACAAATCATAATTTTTAATATAATGCTGAGGAGCCCCATAATAGGACGAAACGGCCGTCCAAAGCTTTTAGGTTTTCCATAGTGGTCTAGTTTTAATTGACTCATGATCTCAACTATTAAATTTGTAATATAATCGTTCAGTTTTTTTAAAAAGAAATGCTGAAATGTAATGTTGATGATACCCCGGTGAAGAAGATTCTGTTGTATGAAATTTGATAATCCAACTAAATATGATGAATTATATTATGGAAAAAAATATCAATAAATATTAAGTACTAAACTTTCAATGATTATGGGTACATGTGAAATGTAGCACACTGTTTTAATTACTGTGCAATGAACCAATGTTATTAGTTTAAGTGATTCAGTATTACGTGTGATATGTTTTAATGTTAGGTCGAATCCAATCAATCAGTGTAAATATTTCAGCTTTATAGGATGTCATTTACGCGTACAAAATAGTTTACTATTAATGCCTCTTACTATGAAATTTGGTCGGCTATGTTTGAATTCCAAAAAGGAGAATAAATTCTTTTATGATTGTAAGAATTACTTGTTAAAGATTGTTAACAAGCATGAAATTAAAATCCAAGGTTTTCTGTTAGCTACGTAAAACTACCTAACATATTATAACACGTTGTAATGAATAGAATGACTTAAGAATCAAATTTCAGATCTATAACTACGTAATAGGAGGTGAATAACATCAGTTAATGAATAATGTGATCATCCCATATAGCTATTAACAAAATTTATGAAAAATAGCATTGATCATCGTAAATAAGACTTGGATTCGATTTCATGTACAGATGTGGAATGTCTATGAGCAGAAGGTTGAGAAGAAGAGAGAAAGGAAGTGAAAACAATCAAGATAACCACGGGAGTGAAAGGACAATGATGCTTGTAAGAGACAATTCAGAGATGTGCAAATGAAGTATTTGATGTATGATTTACACATTTTGCTAAACCACTGTGCGATTGTGCATTAAACAATAAATTGGTGTTCCCCACTTGACTTCGTTTACCACATATGCACTGCTGAAAATGTTTACGGCTAAGATGAAGTAACCATTATTAGTTGTGCTATTTCATTTAAAAATTGTTCTCCAGTTTAAGTTAATTTATAATACAAGGTAAACATGAATCTATTGTTATATGGGGTGATGAAGCACAAATAAATGATTAATACAAGATGTGATCCAACATAGTTGTAGATTAAAAAGTGAATGTGCACAGCGATATTTTTTAACAATGAACCATGAGCATATAAGTTAGGAGAGAGAGAAGATTAGATTTTATCTTTTCAGGAAAAGCAATTAAATTCCCAGTAGAGGGGGTACAAAGAAAGGAAGCCAGCTTGAAAAAGTTTACTTATTATTTAAAGAAATGAATGAATATCAATGGGACAATAGGATATTGTATTGGGATTTGCTTTAAACCACACAATCCTAAAAGCTGAACATAAAACCACTGAACACCGGAAGAAGTTCAGGAAAGGGGAACTCGAAAACATTTGGTCAGTAAGACATGACTCGGTCATATAGGCGTTGTAACTCAACGTAACCTCTTAGTTTTTCTATAAAATATATTACTTCATTACCAGTCTAAATGTTTTCTTCAAAGGTTATTACAAACATTACTGACTGCCACGAAGGCTCGAGTCAGTACATACAATGATATGACTTCGACGTAAGATCTAGTAGATTAGGTAGTCATATCATGGTAAGACTACAATATTGGATTACATCGATTATTCTGGCAGCATAGATAGGTGCACCAACATTGATCCACACCTAAATCCTACAATACAACAACACTTATAATTATTACTTACTTTTTAGTGCCACTATGTTAAGTGTCTCTTAAACCTACAATCCTATAATATTCTGAGAATTTTGGAAGCAAGAGAGCACATCTACTTACTTGATTTTAGGAGCATATCGATCGAACGAACTATGTAGTGGATTTGTTTCTTTTCGTCTTGGATCCATGCATTTTATGACATTCGTCGTATCTTCTAAATAATTTGTTCTTTTTAGTGTGGAATAATCATTAGGAGATAATTTCACTGCTTCTTGAATAGGTAAACTATCTGATGTAGCTACTAATACTTTTGTCTGAAGCGATTCAACAGGGCTTGGGAGAAATGGTGAATCCTAACATATTATTTTGTGAAACAGAATAGGTGAAGAAAAACAGAAGTGAATATGAATTTTTATTTATTTATCTAAAATGAACCATGAAAAATAAAATACGTCAAAAGTACAGTGGGTACGAGATTGAGCGATTCTAAGGATGACCCCATAAGTTTGAAGTTACTTTTAAACTGATAGGTAGGGAAACTGTATAAGCCCATGATGTTAACAATGAAATCGAAGAAATCTACATAAGCTCCTACAGTAATAAATCAATCGATCGTAATTCAGCAGTTCTAGTGGGAAGGCGTAACTAGTGGAGCTTAACCATGTCGGGTACGAGACAGTTACGCACGACGTATATTTAAAGATGATTGCGCAATATCACACACTTGTTGAAGTTGGACATGTTAACCATTGGGTGTCCGTTGATTACCCTAGAGGTTGGGTGTTCGGGCGCAAGACTGAAGGCTTGTGGCTCCATCCCTTGTGGTGCAGTCGTAGATAAAGACGGTTATGGAGTCCCATCTAGGACGAAATAGCTGTTAAGTGCTTACTAGTTCTTAATAACTGCTTATCTGAGCTCATTCAGTGATATTAATTATGAAATTAAAAAATCTCCATAAACCCCTTTAGTAAGAAATCGAAAGTATTTCGTAACAGAAATAATGTAACCTGTTAAAATTTAGTGGTCTAAAAAAAGGTACTGGTTCTCCAAGACTATCACTTTTTTTGGTAATAATGGAGTAGAAATATCGCTGTATAACATTACTAATCTGAGTGTGCATTTATTTACACCAATATTTTTTTCGAAATCTTTCATATGGCTAAAAGTAATGCTTTTTACAAAGTTCAATATCACCCACAAAATTTTCACTAATAGATCCATTGAGTTACGGAGATGAAATTAAGAGAATCATCGGTGTCATTATACTGATAAGAATTTATGAGTAAAAACTGTCAAATGTTTTAGCACCAGAACTGATGACTGGGAGTCAGATAATTTGGTGCATCGATTATTTTGCTTTAGAATTCTCATCTGTCCATGTGAGTTGGTGCTCCCAAATGCCCTGGTATGGCCGAGGGTGGGGAGTCCCCCCATCTCTCTCTCGAAACGCTCTTACATGGCCATGCGTATACAGCCAATGCTAGGGAAGTCCTACCTCGCTTCGCGCGGAGGGGGTGTCGTTTAGGAATTTGAAAGGAAGAAAAGCGAATGTCCGACGCTTAAACCGGGTTGGTAGACACGGATAGTACACCTAGCGGAGTTTCACGACCCAGCAAATTTGAGAACCAAACCCAGAACCCTTGGTCTAATACTTTAAGGTTTACAGTGGTGATCTAGTTAGAATCATTTCGTATTTTCGACTACGAAAACTCTACAATCTCCATAAATCGTCCTATACTAATTAATTATGTATTCATTTCCTCCGGTATAAATAGACAGTTATTTGTAAAGTCAATATTCAACGCAAACCAAACAAATAATAAAAGTACAGACTACCTTTTCTCCAGAAGATGTACTACTAACACGGGGTTCTGTCTTCACAGACAATGTGGATAGTCCATCACAAACATTAGTGGTACTATTAGAAGGGGATGATATTGATTTTTTTGGCAACTGTTGTTGTAGTTGTTGAGATGATTGTTTCGTAAATGCTTTTGTTTGACTTGTACAACGTTTACAATGCATATCATATAAATGTTTGCCATGTTCACTTGTAGTATCCAATATTGGTAATTCATTTGTTATAGTTGCTGTAGTGGTAGTATTAGTAATTTCAGTCGATTGACATGTTGTTACTGTTGTGGCTGTATGAAGATCAGAAGATAGAGAGTTATCTGAGGAGGAAATCCCCGTAAAGCTAGTCGGAATAGATCCATATACGACATCAGAATGATTTGTATTTATCTAAATATGAGAAAAGTAAGTAACAGTACTTGAAGTGATTGATTGATAAATCAAATTGTACACCTTCAGTTTAAAAAACGAAAACTAAAATCAAGATGAAACAAAATGTTCTGATAAGAAGAAGATAATTAAAACTTGAAAATAAATGGAGACACACTGAAGAAGACAACGATGACAAATTACACTGTCCACAATCTAGCAGAATAGGAAAATAAGTTGTTTACAAATAGTTAAAAGTCACTAGAGAATTCTTGATATGAAATGGAATAAATTGAATGAATTCATTACTGTCTTTTCTGAATACAAATAGCTATCTTCATAAATCCATAAAAAATCCAGTAAATCGATACATCTGTGATATAAACTTATTCACAGAAATCAAGTATGGTGATTTAAGCAGGACAACATGAAAGAGTTTAGTAGGGAGTTGTTTTGAAAGTAGATCAGTATGTTATGGACAAAAGTGTAAAAAAGGTCCAAAGGGCTAGAAATAATTCGTTACGTAATCAATAGATGTTGATAATAATAAAATGAGTAAATTTCAATTGTTGAGAAAATTGAAGCTGAACCACCATGGAAAACCCGGAAGCACTGGACGGCCGTTTCGTCCTATTGTGGGACTCTTCGCAGGTGCGCATCCACAGTCCGCCCCGCGGGATTCGAACCCAGGACCTATCAGTCTCGCGCACGAGCACTCAACCACTAGACCACTGAGCCGGCCGGTAACCAACGGTGTTAATGTCTAACTTCAACTAATCCTTGAAATTGAGCGACACACTCACCATTGTCATCGGTGAGTTACTATCTCACAACTGACCCGGTTGAACTCCACTAGTCACTGTTTCTCACTAGAACTCCAAGATATCCATCTTTAAGCCAGTCACTAGTGAGCATATGTTGATTATTATCAGAAAGGGGTTTTGTGGAGATTTTAGTGCTTTCAGGTTTTCCATGGTGGTCTAGCTTCAATTGACTCATGATCTCAACAATTGAAATTACTAAAATCTTTACAAAACCCCCTTCTGATAAAATGAGTAAAGCTCAGTTAACTAAGATAAAATTACTAATCTAGAAGACGGTTGAAATAAAAAACGATGTAATTCATTGATAGGAGTTCAGCAAGATTTTTTGATGCAATGAAGGAATATTTGTCACCAAGGGATGGAAAGATTAACAACCATTTCCTTTTGAACACATAAATCAGGTTTCTGATGCATGATAACAATGGTTTCAGCTATCTCCAGATGATTGGAGTCCGACTGTGTTATTCATCACTGACAGACTGCAAGGTATCGACTTGATGACCTGGATCCAAGATATGTTTAGTAACTGATCTGCTTAAAGTGGTTCTCTCTTTTGTTTGAATGCTCTTTGAAGCATTAAAAAAAATCGAATATATCTCATCATTTTTGTTTGGTCAATGTAACTGCTTTAGCAAATATACGTTAATTTATAAACACAGTTGGCGGCCAAATGTATTCATAAAATGTGCTTTTATATAAGGTGAATGTTTACAATAAGTTATTCAGTCCATTGCATTTATTTATACCTTTGCCTATATTATACTGATATGCCTTCAAAATGATTTTCAACTAAACTCTTTCATGTAAGTTAATTTAAACCCATTTTATAATTAAGTATATAATAAGTATCACAGATTGTGAGCAATTGACAAGAACTAAACGAAATAAATATAAATTTATATTATTCTGTTCAAATATTTGTTCATGCTCTCTGCAAGATAGTAAGGGGAAATACGTGTGAAAATAGCCTCAGAAACCAGAAAATCAATATACTCTATTTACCGACTTATGCAGAGAAGACTCACTAGTCATATGACTAGAGGTCAACAAAACAAAACATACAACAGAGAAACAAAGACAAATAAAGTTGATGATGAAAATATCTTCTCATAAAAAAAGACGAGATCAATGTGAACTAAGAGCTGATAGTGATCCTTTATCTCGCAAAATGATAATAAACGCCTTGCAATTTAACCATCCAGTAAAAAACACACAACACAATCAAAAGCCATTGTGTAGATTTTTAAAGCTTTTAAAAGTATTTAAAATTCATACTAGAGGCTTACAATTTGTTTAACCAACAAACGTAATTGTTTCTGATTGACATCATGAACCGAATGATGTTAGACTACCATTGAAAACCTGGAAGCACTGGACGGCCGTTTCGTCCTATTGTGGGACTCTTCACATTGCGCATCTACGATTCCGCTCGCGGGATTCGAACACATGGCCTTCATTCTCGCGCGTGAACGCTTAACCTACTGGACCACTGAGCCGGCATCCAATGGTGTTAATGTCTGACCTCAACAACTTCACGAAGTTGTGCGACCATCTCCCATTGTACTGAGGTAGATACCTGTCCCTACCCGACAGGTAGTCTAACATCAATCGGTTCATGATCTCAATCAAAAAATTAACAATGTCTACAACCCATAGACTGAAAACGTAATTGTGTTATTTCTTTCTTTGTTTAAACTTTGATGGTTATGTATAATACAAGTTAAATATAAGGTGAATTTTCAATGAATACCATTTATGAAAAGTAATACTTGTGCATCTTACAAACACTTTTCGGTCACTAAGTAACATATTCTTGCTTTTAGTCTTCATGGAAAACGCTAAGAATTCGCCCAACTCAGTTTATGATAACTGACTTTTATAGTGTTGATTTTTCTTTTAATTCCTATAAACTTCAAGATTATATGCTAAACAGGACAAAAATAAGATAAATTCGGTAATGAAAATATACACTTACATTATTTGATGAGACAGATGAAGTGAAAGCCGACAACTTATTATGAGTATTATCTGTTAAACGAGTACGCCTCACTATGGATTCCAATGTTTTTACGTCTTGACAATGTGCCAAATCAATAGGTCTCAATGTACCGCTAATTAGTGAGTCGAAAAATTGATCACGTAACATTACAGATGACTCAGTAGTAGAAGTCGTACTAATAGGAATATTGGATTTCTCTGAAATACAAGGATTATCTAAACAATTAAGAAATAAATGTAGTTGACATTTATATGTTGAATAATCTTGTGCCAGTGGTGAAGATCCATCTAATGTTGTAGAACAGTTAGTTAAGTTATTTCTGGCAGAAATTACACCTTCCAATTCTGTAGCTAAAGTTTTCAATCTAGAACGATTAGCTGTGAAAATATGACGTGAGGTTTGTGTTCTGTTTGAAAATAAAAATAAATGAAATAAAACGACGTAAGTGTAATTATGAAAAATAGAGGGATACTAGACAACAACACATAACAGATGATAAGTATTGTTACGTGATGTGTCCGAGATTTGATAGTGAAACTCGAGCTCATTACACATGAGACCAATTGGCTACTCCAGTGAAAAAAGAAGTGCATAGACTAGCCGTATCGATTGTATGTGCTCCCATTGAGGAAAACATAAATATATGTTTTGGGAAAAGAAACCATCAGTTGTTTGTATCTCATTCCTTAGAAATGAAAGCCATTTCTTGGTTTATCATGTACACTTATCGCTTAACCGCTTTTTGATTAGTCCAATGTGCCAGAAGATTAGTGGGACTAAACGTCAGAATGGAAATAGTTCCACGATACTTATTCATGTGATATATCTACCTTAACTATCTGACCAACGATTAAAAACCAGACTTATATACTAGAAAAAAATGTCTCGGTTTACCTTTTTTCAAGTAGTGCAAATAGAAGACATTGATACTTTTTTCGTATACGCTCGACATTCTCAGACGTCAAGAGCCGTTGTTTATTGTTTTTATCGTTTGATTCAGATGATATGGACGAAGGTGAACGGGATGGATCATACTCCGATGAGATTTTATTCACATTTGACGATACTATCAAAAAGATGTAATGTTAAAAAAGTTGACCAATTAGGTTTGAGATAAATATGCTACTGAATAATTAATAAGTAGCTTGATGGCATCAAACAGCAAAATAGTGAACAGCTGATGGTTAACTACGAATTATTAACCGGTACAAAACCAACGAAGTTAAATTCATCATACGCAAAAGTGATTCCATATGATATATATACTCACTCAAAAACACAAACACAAAAATACCACATTTTTTGATCAAGGAACTAATATATTAATACCAGGACAGTTGAAGTTTAAAGCGCTTAGTAAATTACTACTTGAACTAAACCAATAAACCACAGTGATAGTTGGTATATGCTAGCTGTTTCCACAACCTATTAGTACCACACAATCAACCATCATCTGAAAGATCCAAGAATATACACAGATTGAGTGTGGTCTTGTTTTATTGAAGAGTGTGAGTGTTCTATGAATGTTGGTTTAAGTCGTAGGTCGTACTCATCATCGATTGAACTCGGTTGAGGTACCACTGAAAATACGGAAGGAATAGACATGTTTCTTTCCAGATTGGAACACTGGATTATCGATAGCGAGTAAACTCGCCGGGCACGGAATACAATATCTTCAGGTCTTACAGTGAACCAAATGAAAAATTTAGTTATGTAGGAAGCTGAAAAGTTGTTATGACTGTCATTGAATGATGGTAACAGTATACTACGACTTGATTCTAGCTTAAAATGTGTACGAGTGGGTCGGCACTCAGTAATCTAGTGATCAAGAAGAGGTCATGAGTTTTGAAGGTCCTGAGTTCGATCATTGCCCGAGTCGTAAATGCGAACGGCCGAATACAATGCCAGTACGGAATTAAAATTATATTGCACTATCTCTTTCTTCTACTTCATTGATTAATTATAGATTAACTGTCTTTGTATTGGTTGATAAATTTTTTATTAGCTCAGTCATATTGAACTGGTCATTATTGCACTTGTATACGCTAAGAATTAATTGGTGTTCCCGAGGTTAACAATTTGAATGTGAGATTTTTTCATTTTGACTTTAATTGACTTGAGGGGCATGTGAAGCATGTAAATCTAACAGAAATATGAAGTGAATGATAACTAAACAAGAATAAACCACTAAATTTAAAGCACAATTTTAATTTCACCAGTATGGTAATCGGTATTGTATCGAAGAAGGGATAATTGTATATGTGCAGATATTATGTCATTGAATAAATATTCAGTATTTAAGAATAATTTACCTTCATTTTGTCCAGAACATTTATTCGATTGATTCAAAGATGGAGTCTTTTGAAATCGATCATTTTTCTGACGACTGTAAACAACCTGTTAGCGTAAAAATAAAAAAAAAGAATATGAGACTGGTGTTACTTTTAATAAATTAAATTCAAGCAATCTGATGTAATAAATACTATAAGAATGAATAGAAGTAGATTTAGCACTAGAAGTTTTTCAGCATTAATCAAACATATGAACATACGGTGATTTGTGTACTAGACAATGAACTATTTATCATTTAATATAAGGATGAACTGATTTTAATCACCTGACCTGATTAGGTATCACAATTTAACAAGTAGATTTCAGGCGCCAACAAATCAGTCCAATCTACTTCCAGTTAGAGAATTGAAAAGATGTCGGCATTATCAGCTTTCATAAAATAAAAAGTCAATCATATGAATAGTGGTAGAGATAGTGAACAAGGATCACGTTAGAAATAAGAACCAATAAATCTCCATCCAGTGAATGAATATTATCGTGCTTAATATCTTACTTTAGAAATTCAGATCTCAGCTCATGTGATACGAAGGGTGAGAAATTTTAAGGAAACACAGACTAAGAGGAAACAACTCTTCAGTGCGTTTCGGTTTCTAAGAAATTCTCAAATGGTGTCAGTTGGTCATAAAACCCATCTTCAAATTAAACGAGAATTCCATAGAACTGAAATAATTGTGAAAACAAATTGGTCATAGGCAATGGAATAAGTACAATAGAGTAGTAAAATATCTTGGTATTTGTCTCTTCTTACGCGTACATAATAATTTTGACATTAAAAGACAGATTGAATATAATAAACATTTCTCCAAAATCTAATCGTATTCCGTAGATTAAGTAGACGGATTAAAAGTATGTTATGTTATAAACAGTAAAACTTACTTGAAACGTGGGATGGGCAGACAAAAAATCAATCAAGGAATCACTAGTTGGTGCTCTAGTACCATTCAGAACTGTTCCACTCCTACGATCTAAGACAACGAGTGTTTTACGACCATCTAAACGATAATGATGACCCTTAAAAACAAAACAAAAGCAAAGTACAATAAACTTTTATTACTCGGTAAATGATCAAAATGTTAGTATACTACACTCATAAAACAAAACAAATAAAGTAATACAGGACTTAGTGAAATTCTGTATCCGTTCAAATTGCTAGATATTTCAGTCATATTACAAAACGAAAGCCAGTACTAAGAAAGAATGTACCATAAGAACCACATGTTTGAACGGATTAACGCTAGAAGTAGAACAATCTGCTCAAGATTTTCAAAGAATAGATGCTTATAAGCAAATGGAATAAATTATTTTTAGATATTAAATGCATTTTTCTACTTATAGTCTTCAGCCGTAATGAGCGACAAATTCCCAGGAAACTATTTATTTTGTAAATTCGCCACGGCGTTAACTATCCTTCGATTTTTACTGTAGATTAAAGACATTATTTGGGTATTTATTGTGCATTTTGTAGTCTAATATTTCATCCCATTCGCAAGATCTTTGTAAATACAAGTAAACACATGCTATTTCCGTATACACATTCGATATTTATCTTCCGAACAAGATTTGCTTTTTTTGGATGTCACGCCTGGAAAAATAAAAGGCAGCTTGTAGTCTTCACGAGATTCAAATCGAGGCTAGGTGTTTGTACAACGTAGTTCAGGGGAAAGATCACAAAGCTACAACATTATCATCCAACACCACAAACGATAAGGAGAAAATGTGGTTAATTATAAAACAACTTTTTTACTGCTCCAATAAGTCCCAATCCCTTACATATCACACTTGCGTGAAAAGAGAATAATAATAAATAACCAGAGGGCAGAGTAGCCGTTATAACTCTGTTTTTCTTACTTCTTATGGTTATGACCCAGCTATTCCTATTGCTTAGTATTCTTGGACACCGATTCACTCGACAAGACCCCAAATCAGAACACGGTTGAACAGGAAGGAGATTATATTCCAAATAACAAGGTTAGATGGAAGCAAGAAGCAAGTCAGAAACCAGTAGGAAGCACAATAGGGGAAAACGTTGGTATATTTATAGTTTTTACATAAGAAGATTCCAGAGTATTCTCCGACTATCGACTAGTGCTGATTGGATAAGAATCAGCCAATCAGCGTGCACCAAAGCAATCATGCATTGAGCATGCTTTAATCTAGTCTATGTCCCGCTAACAGTAGCCGTCACCAGTAAAGAAAAAGGAAAGAAAACTACTGTGACAGACAGTTTATTGAGACGAGGGATTCCGGCGAGAAAACGTGAGAATTTGAGTTATGATATGTGATAGTGGGAGTAAAATATGATTGGTCGTTGAGTGTAGACAAACAGTCACAGTTTACGGACCATTCATATGTAGTTTCTCTTCCTGTCACTGACTTCAACTCTGGACCAAATGAGTGTGACAACCTGTAATTGCAATGATTAAAGTATTATCTAGTGTTAATCTGGTTCTGTATTTCGGGTCGTGAATCCTAGATCTGATATAACGCGACTAGTCTTATTAAAGTATTATCGTAATATACGTAACAGCGAGGAAAAATATTTTAAACATCCGTTATATCGAATCGTAAAACCATTTGTTATGTGAAAAAACGCGGTTTTTATTCATCTCGAACAAATAAATACATGAAAACTAACTAACCGATTTATTTAGAGGATCTGTTGAGTCATATTTTCTGCAAACTGTTTGAAGTACATCCAATCCGTAAGCTTTCAAACACCTGTTACTACAATAAACACTAACCTGTAAAACATAAAGATGAAATGGAATTTAGAGTACTAAAGTTCGCAAAATAAAATAGCAATAACAGAAATCTGAATAACACGTGAAAGTATTCAAACGATATGATTAGACGTAGCTAGTAGAAAACGCTGCTCGACCGATGTTTCGTACTAGTTAACACTCGTTACCAAGGCATAAATGAAATCTTAGGGGAACTACTGCTCTATGGTGTATTTGAACTCATCTCATCCAACTCCAAAGTCTGAGATATTAGTATTGAGCTATTCAGACAGAAACTGATCTACTCACTGTTGCTTAATCACTGAGTAATGGTCGGTTTCGTTTTCGTATAATGTTTATACCTGATCAGATTTTACCGATCACGTTGCAATATAGTTGACTAGTCTGAGTGACTAAATAGTGTGCAATATGTTTTAATGTTAAGCAGTTGTATGTAATTGGCTGTACACACTGGATCTAGGTCTTGGTCCACTGAATTCGATCAGCAGTAAAGGAAAAGAAAAATATGGCACTAGCCACTGATCGATGAATAATCAATTTGAGTATGCATATACTATTGTCAGTCAGTTAGTTGCAACGTAGAACCATGTACATATGTTCATTGGTTCAAGTCGCCACACATTAGGGTAGGAGAAATGAAATTTTCAAGATGAATCCTAGAGTAGTAGAGATAGCACAGTTTTACTGGTAATATAAAAGATCAGGGATCGAAGATACTATTCAAGAAAATACAAACTAGTGTGATAAAGATGTCATCGGTAATCCAAAAGATTAGATATCAGGTGGGGGGGGGAAGGCAAAGAATGGATACACCTATTTTCTCCTCTTTTGTGGATTTCAGTTATGGAGGAAGATTTGGCAATTAGTTTATAAATACGAGTTAATATATATTTATTGTAGCTCTACTACTGATACATTTAATTGCACGTAGTTGCATACGTTGTGAATGGGTGGTTTAGTGATCAAGACGTTTGACTTTAAACCACTAAGTTATATGTTCGAATCCTGAACTTATGGATAAAGCTGTTTTATTATTGATACACAAGGATAAACAGGCTGTTTAATTAGGATCTCTTGGCCAACACTGAAAGGTAATTCAACTTGACAAAAAATATGTTGGGTCTGGACAACCTAGGATCCAATACCTTACTTAGAATCGAAAGTTTGCAGACCTAGTTGAATGAATAAAAAAGATTGACATCTTGAAAAACATTAAACCAATAGTTTATTGAGAAATTTGTTTCAGATCGTAAATCTTCTAGATACTGTGAAAAATACAGATAGTGACACTAACTAGATGCTTTAACTGTGAAACCTGGGTCACAGACTAATTGAATATTGCGAATTGAGCACCAAAACAACTGAAACACAGTCGTAGATAAATGGAAAGAACTTATTGTATGATCTCCTCTCAATAGTTTTAATATTTAAATTATTTTATTGTGAAACATTTAAGAAATAATACAAAGTCGTCACATCCCGGCATCACCATAGTATATAACTGTGCTATGCATTAATGTATTAATTTTAGCATCAAATTATGTGTTAACACCAGTATATGTTAGAGAAGGCAAGTAACTTCAACTCAAGAGTTTTAAACTGCACAAAACACCTGTATTGTATATCACATTTTTTGAAAAACAAGAAAATATTACCGCAATGTATACTCAACGGCAATCACCTTGAAAAGAGACATTGTATTACTACAGGATATTGTGAAGATTATTGAATTTGAAATTTCACATCACGGAGTGATCTCGATTAGGCAATCTAAACCAAGAAGCACTAAATAGCTAGTTCGCCGTAGTGTGAATCTACACAACAGTATGTACCCACAACATCACTAGGGACCGAAGCCGAACCCCTAACTCGTATAATAAGAATTTATCACTCAAGTTGGACTGCCATTCAATGTTGTACATTTCCAACTCCAGTCAATTCTCAATATTTCTTGACCAATATATTCAGCGTTTTATTTGTTTTCAATGGTTATCTAATCAGGGTCAATCAGCACTGTAAGAGAATAAGCGTCAGTCAGACAATTCAAATTGAAGCGTTGAATTATATACATCGACATAGAAAATAACAAATCCTAATCAATTAAAGATTGAATATTATTAGTCTATGTATGAAAAAAGACTATATAGGTCACAATAACAACTTACTTGAGGATTAATAGTTTTATCACAATTCGGTCCTAAACATGAATTTGTTGAATTCACTTGTTCTTTTATTTCATTTTTTAAAATAATTCGTGGTCGTTTCTTTCGACGTGATAGGACTTTTGTGAAATTAACAGATTGTAAACTATTTGTGTTGTTAACAACACACGAATTGTTTACGCTATACGTATAAAAGAACATGTTTTTTATGTTATTAGTAAGGAGAAAACAAAACAATGCTGTAATATGTAATATCTGGAAAAAAGTGTGCATATGCTCAAGTTACCACAACATCATATCAGTAAGCTGACGTGAAATTCGTACCAGACTAAATTGTTGTGACATACGCTTACGAGTTTAAGACATTTTCATTCAGTAACTGTTTCAAAAAGGGAAAGTGGGAGGATGAAATCAAATTTTGACTGGAACGGGAATAATTGTAAAAGAGATACACCAACGCTCAAGGCAAAAGAACCCCCTATATTGTTATAACGAACCAAGATCTATGAATGGTAAGCAACAATATACATAGCCAGATTACACAAATTATTGATTGGTAATAATCAACGACTTAGTCCTTGGTAGTAATCGAATATTACCTATTGAAATGTGGTCTGTTGGCTTAAGTGTTTTTGTTCTGTTACAACCATATTGATTGAGGGTTTCGTCAGGAGCAAGAACATGACTTTTAGTGGAGCGATGGCATGATGACTAAAAATTTAACTATCAGAAAGTAGGCTGCAGATCTGAATCCAGCCTCATCTACTTCACTTTAGACAGTCAGATAGTACAACCAGCTCTCACATTTTGAAGCTCAGATCGATGTACATGAATCGGTATCTGGTAAATGGGTACTCATCATCTACTGAAAAGTAACGTGTGATTGCTGAGTAAGTTGTTTACCATTTTAAGAGTTTACAACATAAATAAGCGATAATAATCAAATAAAACTAACAAATCAATAATCAACTTACGAAGATAATTTATTTTCATTAGTGACCACAGATGATGGAGTTTCTTCTACACTAGTTAAAGTTGAAAATGATTCAGAAACTGAACTATCATCTTCTGAAGGACATTTCATAGCTATATCTGTCTCTGGTAAAATAGTAGCTATTCGATCACGTTCTTTTTCAGCTTCTTCAGTTAAACGTAATCTTAAACTATTTACTATGGTTGCTGTCAATAGATTGGTGGGCGATACAGATGTATCAATGATTGGAGCAAATTGTGTCGACATAAATTCATTACCATTATCAGAACCAGTAAATGTTTGTAGCTGTGATTATTGTATGTGAAAAAATGAAATGAAACAGGAATAAATTAAGTTACATCATCATTTTATATATAATTTGTGCTAGCATGATAAAGTCCTGATTTTTACATGCTTCCAGTTGGGACCGATTTAGAGCACCCTCATTGGTTCATTCTCAACTAATCAGTACTAGTAGACAAATAAAGATTTTAGAACATTTTTATGTAAATTCCATGTGAACTCTTATACGTTTGGCACTGTCTCTTAATTGTTCGGATTTATTCCGATATTTTTGCATGCTCTTAATTCTTATTTGGATAAGTCCGAGTTATATATCGTACGTGGCCACGAAAACACTAGACTATAGAAGACCATAACGATTTAATTTAAAAAAATACTTATGTACATAAACACACAACATGGAATAGAAATGTCACTGAAATTTGTTAACTTACATGATCAACTTGGTCATTTTTGCCTGTGTAAGCACCCATTAATTTACATGAATCACAGACAAATTCGATTTCATTTTTTTCCATACATTTACCTTCTTCTGGTTTAATTCCAACACAATCACCATGATACCATTCATCGCATAGATCACAACATATCATGAATCTAGGATCGGAAGATTTTTTGAGAAAACAAACATGCATACCATATATTGTTAAACATTTTGATACTAAGATCGGAAGCAACATGAAGGCTTATGAAAGACGAAATAAGTTTCAGATATTTATCTGAGAGTTTAGTTGAACTAAGAAAGAAAGTGTGAAACGATTGTATCAATCATAATGGATTGATCACTTATGAAATACAAAACGTCTATTACATGGAATCTAGATTATTACATCATGTTACACAAAATAATGTCCATTTTGTAAACGGGCAAACTACACTCTTTGGTGTTCAACACTATATAAGTAATCGAGATAAACACAAAAGCTCATAGTCTATTGGAATTTACGTCGACTTATTACAGATAACAACTATAAATATGTCGTTCACAGCCTTCTTGTGGTGGGGGTGTTGTTTACGAAATCGAGAGAACGAAAAGCGAATGTCCGGCGCGTTAATAGGGTTGGTAGACACTGAAAGTTTACCTAGGGGAGTGAGAAAACCCTCATTCCAAACCAGTGGTGCACATGGGCTCCAGTATCCTGAGGGAACAAATGGCGTATGAACCAATTGTTGGTCACCGGCTACCATGGGACTGCATCTCTTCACGATGTCCCGTTGCCTTGTGGATCGAACCTTTAGGTCGAAGGGTTCGAGTGTGGCCTCCTAAGAAAACTACCTGCTTCGGTTTGGGCACCTGAGCAGTATTCCAGCTCTCACACAAATCGAGTGATTTATGTGGCGCATATCTATTTGGTGTATCCTAGTACCAATGTTTATGTGTTTAAATGGATAAATAAATAATAAAGTGATTTGTTAGAGTTAAATCATTTGTTTTCTTCTCTCAACCTTTACAATTATATTTAATATAAGTACAGTAATAGTAAGTATAATGCATTAGAAATTTCCGAATCTACTTCCAGAAGTCATATTACTGCTAAGATCCCACGTAACCTAGTTTCATGAATAAATGTTGGTTGCTTCTTGTAACGATAACTACAAGCTGAATTTTATTAATTCATATTTCTGCATAAACACCGCTATCTTCCGAATTGGCGCTCTTTTGTACCAATATTTATGTGTTCAAATAAATGAACAAATAAATCTTCCGAATGATTCTTCTCACTTTTAGCTTTCTAATTTTTCTGTTTCCCAGTGATATTTTGTTATCATATAAATAGAACTGTGTTATTTTAATTTTTCTGCTTGGATATTATTGATGGTGAGACTCTGGAAGAGGCCGAAACCTTCACGTAACTGGGTAGCATTATCGATGAGCAAGGAGGATCCGATGCAGACGTAAAGGCAAGGATTGTGAAAGCAAAGGCATCATTCCTACAGTTGAATAACATATGGAACTCAAAACAATTGTCAACCAATATCAAAATCAGAATCTTCAATACGAACATCAAAACAGTTATACTGAAGGGAGGTGAAACTTGGACAGCTGCTACAACCATCATCAAAGAAGTACAGGTATTCGTAAACAATTGTCTACGCAAGATACTGAATGACCGGATACTATCAGTAACAACCTACTACGACAGAGAAAAAATAAGCTTCCAACTGAAAAGGAAATTAGGGGAAGACGAAGTGGATAGGACATACTTTGCAGAAATCATCCGATATCACGAGGCAAGCCGTAACCGGGAATCCTGAAGGGAAGAGGAAAAGAAGACCAAGTGCCACAATTTATCGGGAATTGAAGGCAGACATCAAAAGAATAAAAAAGAACTGGAAAGGACTGCTCAGGACAGAGTTCGATGGAGAATGCTGAATGATAACAAGAGTAAGTAATCTTCAATATTAAGTCATCATGCACTTCGGTATTTTTTCCATGTTGTGGATTATTCTTGAAGTGTAATATGGCTAGTCATCATTTTCCCGAGTTCATTATACAGCATGAACAATAAATACGCTTGGATTATTTAGAACACTGAGTTCCAACTACATCCAGTGTTGCCTGTATATTACTTACCTTTCATCATGAGGTTGTCGACATATACACCATAATCTTTCAGGGTCATTTTCTTCAGAATCTGAAGAACAATTACTTAAATCTTGTGATTGTTTAGAATGACGAGATTTTGTACGTTTTTTGCGAGCAGAATTGTTTATTTTCACACGTGGAGATGGTTTTTTGATTTGTTTTGTGAGACCACCTAAATTAGCAAGATAAGTGTGCATGAAAAGTAGAAATGTTTTTACCTTCTCTGATAAATCAATATTAAGTAAACAACAACCAGCAACTACAAAGTTTGTGTGAAAAATTCAATAATAAAGTTGTGTATTACAAACGTTCTAGATATGAGTAACTGGAATTTATTACTTTTCTTATATCCCATTTAGCTAAACTAACTATTGGTGAATCAAATGCCTTTTCACTGGTTGATATATATCCTAATTACTCAACCATATTGAACAGATCATTTCTGTGCCTACGAACGTTGAAATTGACTGCTAAGGTTGAGTTCATTACCTTAAATGTGAGTTTAATTTAACCTATGATTATCTATTGTGGAATCACTTAGTGATTACATATTTTTTATGTATAAATATTCCCGAGAATCCAAGATAATCTTCTAAATCTCATCTACCTCAGATGCGTTACCCTAGCAAATCTAATGAAACTCGTTACAAAAAAGGACTTATTATCAAGTCATTTGTAACTTGTTTAAGATACAACTACCACTAACGACGACCGAATACATTATAAAGCTGTAAAATTTATCCTAACTGTTGTCTTGGACTAATTGTGATAGCTGGAAAAATGTCGGCTGAGGAATGGAACTGGATATAAAAGCATTCATACCGCACTTAAAAGACAGGACAGTGATTTAAGTAAAATAGCTTGTGACAAAACGTTTTTACTAAAGACTGTCTTATTCGTCAAATTACACCGACACCAAAAACTGTCGTAATCATACCTCTGGTTCATGTATGAAATATCAATCAATAAGACATTTTGCACATCACATTTATTCATAATTTTTACTCGAATACGTTCTTTATGCAATACATCAAGAGAGATACACGATATCTGTCCATGTCAATTAGTGATGAACAATGTAGTATCTGACACAAATAATGGTCCAATTTGTTACATTTTTGTTTTAAACTGTCAAAATGACAGGAAAGTGATAAGATCGGGAGTAAAAGAGTCAAGACGATAATATAAATAATAATAGAAAGCCAAATAGAGGAAATCGGATTCAAAAGGAAGGAATGAAAACAACCGAAACACTGACATATTTTAAGCCATATCATACAACATTATTAGCTATAAACTAATATAATCTTGAAGACAACAACTTTGGAATGGCTGGTCTGTGTTCTGTAAAAACAAATGTAATGCTATTACAAACACATATATACTGATTAATCATGTTGTACAATGATTCCATCAACTACTTTGACTAAAATATACAGATTACTATCTAAAGAAGATATAGAAATGTTTTTAGGTATTACACGATGTGTAGCTGGTGTTTATTGTGAAACAGCTGAAGAATCACTAATAGAGCTTCAACGACATGCAGCTCTAATGCATGGATTGACTTTGATGACCTGAAAATTTTGGAAGATAGGAAGTGATAGATGCAATGATTGTAATAAATGGATTCAAGGTGAATAATCCTTCAAAATATAGTGTCTTTTGACATGGTTCACTTTATTCTTTGAGTATAAAGCAAAGCATCTAAGAAACAAAACAGACGATAAGGTTTGTAGTTCATAAAATAGTGTCTCTCTTATACTCAATAGTCTACATTCAAAATAAGTTTATACTATATTACATCCAGATTGTAGTTGAAAACATTTCTTGAATTATTCAAATGAAACGTTGTCAGTATCTTAACAATCTAGAAGTACTTGCCTAAAAAAGTTGTATGACTAATTGACGACAAATAACAACCATACAACGAAACTTTTAGTGAACTTTTAAGCGGTTCTAAACTGTGCTCTTAGAAGAAAATGACTCACCGGAAATTTTAGTTCTCAAACAATATTCTGAAACACCATCTTCTTCACTTTCACAGCACGATTTTTTATTCTTTTGTTTAGCTTCAATACGAGCTGACTGTCTATAAAGATAAAACTATAGGTTTACTATTTCATAACTTTTTATGTGTGTAATTATAAATAGAAACATAATCAGTACTATCAATAAATTTCGCATTCAGCAATTCTAAAAGCCTTTTTCGTAATATGTCGACTTTATGACGTATGGGTAAGATTATAAATAAGCACAAGTTTTGATATGAGCAACAATAGGTAAACGGAAACTATAAAATTATCTTCAGTGGTATAGATTAACCTTTTTTGTATAACTTGTACACAAAATATATGAGTACGAGGATAGGAAGGGCAACCATAATGGAGGTATCTGAACTTACATAGCAAAAAGGTTTCGTTGTTTTGGTGTTGTGAAAAATGTTCTGATCCTTCTAAAATGTGATTTACAAAATGTGTTGACGTATTTTAAAAAGAGTACTGTCATCGTAACTTTAAGGATCTTCCCGTTTTGAAAAAATTAGATTTATGTACGTTGTTTTACCGAGAATACTGTAAAACATTTAAAAGCAATCGTTTCAAATAAATTATCACATCACAAGCCGATAAATGTTGAATTCAATTGTGAACTGCCGTGATATTTTCAGGTGGATAGAAAAGTTTTAAAGTGAAAACCTGTTATTTTAATCAAAAATATATATCAGAAGGGGTTTGTGGAGATTTTTAGAAATTTTCACAGATTGAAATCATGAGTCAGTTGAAGTTAGACATTAACACCGTTGGATGCCGGCTCACTGGTCTAATGGTTAAGTGCTCGCGCGCAAAGCCAGTAGGTCCTGGGTTCGAACCCCGCGTGGTGCGGGATCGTGGGTACGCACTGCTGAGGAGTCCCATACTAGGGTGAAACGGCCGTCCAGTGGTTCCAGGTTTTTAATGGTGATCTAGCTTCAACTGACTCATGATTTCAATCTGTGAAAAAATATATATGACAAACAAATAAAATATATTCATAAGCAGAGCGATAATGGAACAAAACTTAACCGATAGCTGAAGTCTCAAGTTTAATAGCTATTTAGTAACCTACGTATATAATCGGATAGCGACAAAACATACATTTTGCAACTTATAAACATATTAAATTTGTCTTGTGCTTTGTCACACATTTTTCCTGATTACAAAAATAGTGCAACTGTGGGTTTTCATTATTTATTTATTTACTTTGAACCATGCAATAAGTTATGAAACTTCAGACATTGTAATTTTTGATCATCGGGATATCAAACGTGTGTTATTTTATGACGAACTGTAGTTGTGTAATCGATCGTTGAATCATCACAAACACAGTAAAGAAGTGAGAATTATGTCAAATTACAATATGTTTAACGGTGTAAGGAACTATTGGTCGGCCATTTTACATTAATAAACGATAATTGTTTTCAAGAATAGAAATGCTTCTATCTGTATTATTTGTAATGACGGATATGATTGTATAATTACTTGTAAGTTCCAGAAACAATTGCATAGTCATTAACATACAGAACACACTGCAGTAGTAGTAAGGTATTCAGCTAACTAGCAGTGCACACAAAGTTGAAGCAATCAATGGCTATATAAGTAGAATTTTGCCAGATTTCTTTTTTTTTTAATAACTGGTACCATTTACGTATGGAAACGGATTAAGTGGCAAAAATCAGCACAAGATACTCCATTGTGTCGAAACTATATAGTAGTCCTTGGAGCTTATCAAGGTGTATAAAATTTCAGTTAGCAACGACCATACACATACATTAAAAAAAAACAGAATTATATTGATGCTGGTTTAACCATTGATTGTTTAAAGGCGTAAATGTTTAAATTCAGAATAGCAAAACTGTTAGACAAAAACAGCCTGAAGGATTACAACACATGAAAAAGTGTAAACAACACAGCTATCATGGGATAATGGTAATAAATGCTTTACTCAGTAAAATCAATTATGCATGGAATTTCGTTAGCAACTAAATCTTGCTCCGAAAAGACACTTCATGCACTTGACTTTTAGAAACTTGTGCGACAACCCATATCACCAACCGAATACCCAGTTACCGACATGGGGGTTGAGTCCGAACCTAAAATACGAAACCCGTCGTTTTCACCACTACAGAGTGCTTCCAGAAACGCACACCAAACATGAAGCTAATTATCAAAAACCAGACTACAACTTTTAAGAAATCGACCTCCGAAGTACAAAACGGAGTCTCAAGCGGCAGAATGGCTTCACTACTAACTTATCGAGCACACCAAGCTATAATTTAAAACATAATATACTGCACCATATTTCGTCAAGGGATAACAGCAGCACCCTAGAGTTTAAAGGCAGTGAGTTTAACTGCGCTACTACAAATGATTCCTTATTCATGAGACCCAATAAAAAATACACAGAAGCGCAAAGAATAAAACAAAACTGTGTCATTGAAGGATTAGTTACCTTCTTTGGGTTAGGGTTGTATCGTTTTGATTACAGTCCGGAGAACGAGCAGTTGATACAATCTGTAAAGACTGATCATAAGTTAATAGACAGTAAAGATTATGAGTTTTACCTGTTGGCAGCATTGTTTATCTGCTGATCGACAAGAAAAATTGTTTATTCTACAAGCATCATTTTGAAATGAACCGTCATTAATGCGATTATACCCAGGCGTTAAATCTTCTATTACTAAACAAATAATTACGGGAGGCATGCTTACTGAATAACTGTGTCGAGGGGCTGTTAGCATCATCAACAAAACTCATTCCTTTAACATTTGAATATTATTCACTAAACAATGATAGCATTGAGGTGACGAAAACGTTTGAATTGCGTGGGATTCAATAAACAAGAACTTTATTAGGAGCCTGGATAAACAGATGGGTTTATTTGGCCTCTTTTCTTGTTGTTTCTGTACAGCCCAAGGACAAAAGTGATGCCGATTAGTTGACTATACGAGTTCTAGTCAGTTTGGCAGTGATTTGTTTATATATATTGTGATGCTATTGTCGCAGATCACTATGGATTCCGGATACCAGGATCTATTACATTATCAGTCAGGAGGTTGGTTTGTGGCATCGAAAATAGTAGTGGAGTGAAAATTCAAATATTAAGAGGTGACGACTGCTTTAGAAAGTAAATGAATCATATAATTGATTGTCTAAATATTGTGAGTTGACCGAATGTGAGATTGACAAGTAACGGGCATGATTAGAAGAGAGACATGAGTAAGCTGACAACTTGTGTTATTTATAATGGTAGATAAGCTGCGAGACATGCATCCGGTACAGCTAGTCTAACCGGGAGATGATAATCTGTAGATGTGTATGTGTTTATCAAGTCTCCTCTTGAATATACCCACTAAGGAGGCTGTGATCATTTAAGCTGAGTGAGCACACAACTTTGGCTTGTCGATGTTGAAATTTAAAAAGGTTGCTTGAGTAGCATGATGGTGATGCCCAGGTTGAGGATTGTACCACAGTGACTTAATGTTGTGGATACTTATCAGATCACCTTTTATTCCTTCATATCCCAGTGTGTTTTTACCCATATACTCCCTCGAGTGATTGAAAGCTGTCCATTCCCTAACCTTGAGCAGCACAGGAAACAGTGTGCCTTGTTCCGTTTCTATCTTTAAAGATTGGAAAACGAGTAGTCTACTTTGTCACACCATACTGACTTTTCTGGAGCAGAAATTTCAGTTCCTTTAATATTTTCCCGGGAGTTAGATGGATGTTCTTTGTAACATTAGTGCAAGAGCGTTCAGCGACAGTATATTCCTAGGTCAAATTTATGTCAAGACGCTGAAAGTTTCTGTCATTTCTTAGCTGATAGTATCTTTGTCGCTAAGCTCTTAAGCCGCAGGGGCCCACAGGCTTTTAGGCTTCTTTTTAAGCACGAAACCATAGAATTATTTCCGAGTTATTTATGCTTTAGCAGCTAGCTACTTCTACAAACATCCCTCATAAGCGTAATAATCGTTCATTCTTTGGTCCGATATCCTTATTCATCCTCAGCTCTCATCACAAACAGTAACTTTCAAGTACAAAGTCAGGCGCAATTAGATCCTTAAATGTGAAAGCTTGGGGATCGCAGATGAAATTACTGTGCGTATAAACGTAATTATTGTTATCAGAAGGAATTTTTCGTGGATGATATGGTGATTTGATAGTTGAGTTCATAACCCAATTAAAGTTGGACCAACATAGAAAACCTGGAAGAATTGGGTGGCCGTTTCGTCCTTCCGTGGGACTCCTCAGCAGTGCGCATCCACGATCCTGCCTCTCAAGACTCGAACCCAGGAACTATCGCCCTAGTGAGCGAACGTCTAACTTCTAGACCACTGAGCCGGACAGCATCTCACGGTGTTAATGCCTAACTTTAATCAATCCACGAAACTGAGCCACCGTACACCATTATCTTCAGTGACTTGGTACCTCACAACAAATTCGGTTGCACTCCACTGGTCAGTACTTCTCACTAGAACTCCAGAAAATACCTCTTCAAGTCAGTCACTAGTGAGCAAATGATGACTAGTATCAGAAGGGGATTTCGTGGATATTACAGTAAATTAATAGTTGAGTTCATGGGTCAATCATTGTTATTAAAACTTCTGCTACATTCACAACGGTATGTCCTTCCAATGAAGTTCTTGGTACTCTTGACACTGGAAGAACATCAGGTAGACTCCGGCAACTCAGCCGATATGGTATTTGATGGTATTATAACCTTTGGGTGGCCACTGATATATTTTAGATTCCGTATCACATTTGGATAGTATGCTACTTTGACATTCACTTCCTTGTCTGTGGCGTCAGGAGGAGCTATATTTCAATTGTAACTGAAGAATGCCACAGGTATTTGGAGTTCAACAACGCTTCGATCAGTAACACCTTCCAATACGAATCGTACCCACCAAGTGAAATCAAAAGACAGGAGTGAGGAGGTTCGAAGATATATTTGATAGGCTATCAATATATCGAGGATCGTCTAATCTAATCTGGCTAGCGAATACAGGGGATGTTGAGCACGGCGTTCCCACTCGTGATCTGATGCGAATGCATGACCAAGCGCCTTTAACTAGATGAGTCCATTAAAACTAATATGGTCAGCACCCAGTGTCGAAGACTTACAGATCTATTTATTTTGAGGATTTATTTACCGCTACAGAACGATTACCATCAGTTAAGGATGAAAACACATGTTTCTATTCTCCCATAATTCCCTTCCAACTCCCTCTACACCATCGTGTAGGTAACTAGGTATTTGTTACTTACACGTGTTTCATGTAGGTCAGTAGCTGATTGCAATGTTTTGAACGTTTTGTGGGGTGGAGGGATTTATCTATATCTGTGAGAACTGGGTGGCGAGAGCATTTTCCCCGTGTTGTTGTGACTCTGTTAGCGTTGTCCTGTGTTATAGGATTATGATTGGGGTCAAGTGGTAGCGAAAAGCACTTTGATTACTCTGCTATTGTCCTGCCGATCTAGGTCATCTGTTGAAGCAGTGAACATGGTTGTGGGAGGCATTTTTTAAACTGATGTTAAGCCTGAAGGAAGTCGATTTTATCCCTTGAATTTCTCAAGTTTACTGCCACCAAATGTGATGGATTAACTGTTGTGAAGTGCAACAGGCTGAAAACTTGGGACACACTTGTCTCTGTAGTTGTGCGCACACCTAGGCTACGTGATAATCATCGTCACTGGTAAATGTGAGACACGTTAGCTACTTCCATACTAACAAACGCTGGCTCGTTGATAGTCACTTGTGACCGCTGACACTATTGATCGTATCTGACTTAGGTGCTCGGTTACTGCTTACTTCTCATTTGTCTAACACTAAAGGGGTTTCCTCAGTCATATATGTCGAATGTATGGCCACACATAGTGGAGGGTTGTACATCTTGTCGTAGTTTTGGTTCAGTGCAACTGACACGGGTTCGTTCAGACAACTCATGTAGGGTCAGTGAAATGTCACCAGTCAAATCGTTCGGTAGTCAGGTCACTGAATGTTCAACAGTTCACTGATCCTCGTCGAGATTAAGGTCAACCAACGTGCATCGATGAATGGGGTGCCATGGACTGGATCATGCAGAAGTGGTTGCACTCTGTTTTTTGCACTTACTCTTACAAATATATCACCGTAATAACGTCGTTTGTGTTGTATGGTCACCAAATCAGCCATGATGCCTGAATACGACGGAAGAGTAATCCACGTTGGGTATTAACTGAGAGGTGTGACCCTGACGTTAACTCGTTGGTCACACAATTCCCGTCTGACTCGTGTAGACTGTCAGTCACTCGACACCGATCATTCACGTTAGTGATATACACACCTATGTCAAAAGGTGTAATATTCGTCTCTTTGATAGTTGTCAAAGATTGCTCTTTTCTCCAGTAACTAACCCTTCGATTCGTGGACATTAACTAACACCAGAGTCTTATATCTTACGTGATTTTTCCATGGTTTGGTGCAAATGAAGCTGTATTGAGAGATACTATCATATTATAGTGAATTTAATTCAACAAATTGTTTATTAATTCGGATCACATAGACATGGTGGAATGCATAAAATTGGATATTTAAATTTGTATTGGCAGACTGATAAGGATGAAATCACATCAGAAATCATTGTACGAATTTCAGTATCATGTATGAAAGAATCTTAAAAGTGACTTGTTTATAGATTTAATATTTTGTGATTCACAATCCTCATGAGAATGTATTCTCAGATGAGGTCTTGGATAAACACTGGAGACGTATTTGAATGATTCAAAAGTCAGGTAACCTCAAGCTTTGGAGAGAAACCTCTGAACACAAAATAATTTATTGTTTGTAAAGTGAGAATTGGGGATATGTAAAGACATCTGAGTTTGAAATTATTTTGGTCTGGAATAAACGAAATCTTGCCATGCAAACTTTGTGGTTAGATGTAAAGAAAATAGGTATACCTATGCTATGACCTTTTATGTGAAACTGCAGAAATTTATTTTCAAGTCTAGGTTGTTTCTTCGCATAATCTAACCAGCAGTACAAACTAGGCTTTTCGTAATCGTGAACTCAACATCAGCAGACTTTGTAGACAAATGGGTCACATTTATTGGGGTACAAATCGTCGGGTTTTCAGCCTTGAGTTTGTAATTTCTCAAATATCTGTTAAACCGAGACGTTAGGAGCCCAATCAACAAGGAAAGTTAATGAGAAATGAGATACATGGATATAAATTGTAGTTGTCTCTAGACTTTTTTCAAATCCTAAGATCATGACACGTAGACCGGACCAAATGGAGGTGGTATTCTTGTCAATATATATTAAATACAAAGACGATGAATGAATAGAAAGTATAAACGTACGGAACTCTTCAACCATGATGAACCAACTGTGCAATGAAATTCAAATGAGAACAACATGCAATCTACCACCAAGTTAGATTAGTAACCAATTCGTCGTTTCCTCGTTCTTTGAGACATTGTCTCCAACACAGGACTTCGCAAAAGATTGATTAAACGCTTCAAAAGGATCTAATGATCTTATATCAAGATTCTATTTAAGCTAATCTGATAGCAGCTAGAAATCATAACAGTCAACATGGAATTAATATCGATAACATTGTGTTTCTTTAGCGATTTATACGAATAAGCTTTTACATTCCGTGATTTCCCATGAAATTTCGGTGAACTTTAGGATCTGTGCAGTAATTTGAAGCTATTTATGTACAACAGAAGCTAACAACCCTATTGAATTTATCTCCTATTAAACTACATTTCATCAGCTAATTTTACGAATAAGTGATCACCAAATAATTTCCCATTTAACACGTGTGGAAATACTAAA